CTTAGCTTATGCTTAGGCCGAAAAGCGACATCGACCCGCATACAGTTTTTGGCCTGTCGGGCACTTGGGCAAGGTGTCCACAAGTATGCGGTTGTCCAGCGTGGGCAGCTCCGTTGTTGTTGTTGTGGATTCGTTGTTGTCATTGGGGAATACGATGCGATCGTCGACCACGTGCGTCTGGACGATAAAGATATTCCAAGAAAGAATGCCTAAGAGCAGCGTGTGTACGGCTTTCATCTGCATTGTTTACTTGCTTGTCTGTTGCTGGTAGGGCGATCGTAGAAAAAACGCGTTTGGCTGCTTCAACTGAACGTCGAAGACTGACTCACGATGCGCATGGAGTGGAGCGGAGAGCTCCCGAGCAGACATTGTGGGAGATTTCCGTAGACGCAGGCACCAGCGATAAGAACTCAATGTTATTTGCTTTTGTATAAACAAACAAAAAACAGCATCAGCAATGTACATTTTAGAAGCTAGTACGCTTTGCGATTTCAAACTGGAAACTAAAAGCTTCTTTCCAACGGCTCGAGCTGTTAAAAGCCGAGCTGAAAAAGCTCTACAGTGCCGCCTGTTCGTATATGCCGAGACTTCACTAGAACTCAAGATCATTTAGCCAGGCAAACGAAATCGGGCAATGACTATCTGTGGATTTCTTATCTGACCAAGGACACACCAATTATTACTAACATTTATATTTTTATATATTTTTCAACAATTTAAATATTAAAGTTAAGTTTAATGAAAGAAAAATTGTTTAACTCGGGAAGAACAAGATATTCGGGGACACAGTCGATCGATGCTTACAAGTATACAGCAGTGCGTGTACTATCTATGTATGCATTTATGTATATATTTATGATACAAAATTGCATCAATCAAATCGAATAGAGAAAAAAAAAATATTCAAAATAATAATGTCAATAAGAAGTAGGCTGGTCACATTTAAAATCTGAGAGCTTTAGGTACTTTCAAATTAACAATTTCTTTAGCCGCATTATATTGTAGGAAATTAACACAAACTCGACCATGCTCTGATAACTTTCAGTTTAATTAGGCTCTATTATTGTTTTTATTTTTTAACTGTATACCATAATCGTTATCACTTGAAATTAAATTTTATATTTTCTACTGAGTCAATTACTGGAATTTTACGCTGATAGAAATATAACATTTTCCTAGTATTTTGTTTGCTGATTAATTATGCTCACAACTAATTTGAGGCGCTTTTCTACATGTAGCGACAAGCATAGTTTTATTTCATGCAGATCCTATCTAGGTAAATTGTTCCCTAATGTCCTTGGCAAATGCCCATAGTAATATTTACACATTTTGATCAATCTTCCGATATTTGACCCAGCCTTGGTATTCTGCTCTATTCTCAACATTAATTAATATATATATATTTGAGTTTTGTAACTTTATTCGGTGTATAAAGTGTCGCATATTCTTAAACTTTGATCTTAATATGGCCATTTACATACATCATTATAAAGAATGTGACCTTCTGGGCACATTTTTCGCGAGTAAAAGGTTTGCGTTGTATTCCTTGAATCATCTTGTGAGTCGCCACCTAAAGAGAGGTCATCGCTGGTGGATTGATTGTCGCCATTGGCATTGGGCTCAGAGGTTGCGGAATGATTGTAGACATTCAAATGGCTATATTCAGATGACATATACATATGTTATAGCATAATAAATAAATGTATGTGTAATTCTCTCTCTTCTCCTTACGTTTGAGACTGGGCCGTATTTAGGGGTAACATATTCAAAGCAATCAATGCCAGCAAGCAGACTATAAGCTTATAACACATCTTGACACATCTGCAGTAAATTTGGTACTGATTATTCGAATGGATCCCTAGGCTCCCCGGTGCTACTGATGATGCCACTTTCCAAATTCAAGTGCTTTTAATTCATAGATAATATAAGGCTTTCTGAATATTCTTATTTTCTATATTGATAACAATTCACGATTAATTTTCGCTTTTCGCCAACTCTCCGCGATGAGTAAAAAAACCAAAATTTAATGTACTTAAATAAAGAAGCAAATCCAAACGTTGATCGGTAAATTATGAAAATTGTAATAATCAATATTAGCAAATAATAATATTGGACTAAAAACAAAAACAGAGTTGATTTAGCTTCTAGTGTTTCTTAATTAACTGATAACAGAAATTGATACAAATAGAATCTGGATTTATAAAGTATATTTTGGTTTGTTTTTTTCTGTTCCTTTCAAAGATTATTTATTCAAATTATATTCAAAAATATATTTAACATGAGAATGAAAGTATGAATACTTTAAATACATACATATTGATATCCAATCATAGAAATAGTCTAAGTTTGTTTAGCTAACTAGGCTCTGCTTCAGGCTTTGTGGCGACAGCGTCCGCCCCGTAGTTCGGTTCCTTCGGTGCATATGGGGTTTGTGTCAAATAGGTTACGTTCCCCAATCGATTCCGGTTCAGTAATTACGGCCTTGCCCTTGGGGTCTTTGGATCCTTGAGCTTCATTGCCTTCATTCTGGTTGCGTGACGTGAAGTCTGTTTTGAAAATTGAAGCAATATTGTCATCCACAGTGTGATCAGATTTTGATTCAGCAGTGCTGCGATAGCTGGGATTAGCTGTGTTGCTTCTGTGCTTGCCTGGCACGTCGGAGAGCTGCGGATCAAGATTGTTGAACGCTCCACCATTTGCTGCTACTACTGGACGAGGTTGCAAGGGATTGGCTGTATTGCTAGGTTGCGGAATCACGGTTCCAGAAGATTGAGTTTCAAATTCAGGGTGTGGCTGTAAAGGCTTTCCAGTAAAACCAGGTTGTAGATAGGTAGGATCCGATGGATCTTGGCCACCCGATTGGGGGCGTGGCTGCAGGGGATTTCCAGTAAAACCAGGTTGTAGATAGGTAGGATCCGATGGATCTTGACCACCCGTTTGGGGGCGTGGCTGCAGAGGATTTCCAGTAAAACCAGGTTGTAGGTAGTTAGGATCCGGTGGATATCGGCCACCCGGTTGGGGGCGTAGTTGCAGAGGATTTCCAGTAAAGCCAGGTTGTAGGTAGTTAGGATCCGGTGGATATCGGCCACCAGGTTGGGGGCGTGGTTGCAGAGGATTTCCAGTAAAACTAGGTTGTAGGTAGTTAGGATCCGATGGATCTTGGCTACCCGGTTGGGGGCGTGGCTGCAGGGGATTTCCAGTAAAACCAGGTTGTAGGTAATTAGGATCCGATGGATCTTGGCCACCCGGCTGGAAAAGTGGTCCGGTGGGATTCCTACGGTCGGTTTCATAATCAAGTGGATTTGACTGTTGGGGTGGCAATGGACGCTGTTCGAAAGGTCTAGTAGGTGCGGTTTCCGGGTAACGTGACCAGACTGGATTACCGAAACTAGCTTGACCTTGACGCCTTACGCCATCTCTCGGGTGCCCAACACCTGCTTGTCCAGCATATAAATCATTGGCCCGTCCACCGCCGTATTGACCTCCACCAAAGCTGGGAGCGTGACCGATTTGCGCATCAGTTGGATTGTAATGATGATTATGATGATATCCGTGTCTGTGATGCGAGGTATGATGCTGATATTCAAATGGCCTAGTTCGATTGAAAGTCAGATTGTTGGGAAACATCTAAATAAACACTTGCACATACCTCTGTGGCTGAGCATAGCTCCAGCCTTCACCGCCGTATGCATTTCCATGAAAATGATGATCTGCATGGGCCTGCAATAGCTGCGCATTTAGCAGGGCTATCAGCAGCCAGCCCAGCGATAAGAGGCGTTCCTTAGCAATCATATTCTGCTCACGAGCTTCTGTTGGTGTCGCTTGATAAAGTGCGACTGAGATCAGCGCATCGAAATGTTTTCAAATATAGTTTCCAATTCAGATTCCAACGGGACAGATAAGCCGAGATTGGCCGCTCGCTCTTATATGTGCTTATACATTGATACCGAGAGAAATTACCGACTCTTGTTCCTTTAAAGAGCGCACAAATACTAATTATAAGAGCTGAAAAGCAAAGAGAAAAAATTAATCACATCAATTGACCTGGGACCAAAGAGATGAAATAGTCACATCAATTGACTTGCGATATTAGCTGCGCTTAGGCTTTCCCTTAGTATCTTTGTTTCCCGATAATTCGAAATGGCAAGCGGATCAGTTGTTTTCCTTACACAAACATTAAAATTATTCAGATCGAATTTTTTCGATTTAGTGGGAAACTAAGGACTTTCTTAAATTACATTAAAAATATAAGGTGTAGAGAATAATGTCGCTCTCATAGGATTTGGCGTTCTTTTGTTTAGTAATGTGGGGGATTCTTTTTTGACTTATTCGAAAATGTTAAACAATTAAAGTTTTTTTTTAATGTCAAATATGTTTAGACTTTTTTAATGTAAACGCATTGCACCTAACCTATTTTCATATTTAGCTCAATAAATAAATAACGAAATATTCATAGCCAAACAAATAATACGATGAGCAAACAGACCTTCAGAGCAATGTGCGAGTTACATAGATAATTTACAAGACAAATGATGATAATGAATGACGTGAAATGTATTAACACACAAAAGACAGAAACAGTAATACCTAACGGAAACATAGCAAGGCTATGTTAGTTTGAATTGGCCGACTAGAATACGCACTAAACTTTGCTCGTATGTAATTTCTTATCTGACGCTTTTCTATTTTGTAGCCGGGGTTTTATATAGCGGAACGACGTACACCAGAGCAATCTGAATAATCAGTTGCAGATTGGGTTTTCTTCAAATATGTCAGATATCAATTCAAGTTCAGTTTTTATAGCTGATAGTCCATCAATATATTATCAATAATACATTGGTTAATTTATGCTTTGAAAAGTATTCATAATGCGCCGATCATTGAAGTAAAAATAAAGCTCTTTAACTTGAAGCTTCCAACTGGAAAATGGAAAGCTCTCGGAGGCATCATCAACATAAGCTGCGGGAAGGTATAAACAAAAGTTAAGATTCGTATTCTGAACGCCCCCATAAAAACTCAAGCTTATTGCATGCGCGTTTATTGTGAACCACTCTAGGCCTCCTTGCGACAATGATTTCCAAGAAGCTTAAAGCCACTTCCGCAGATGGGCAGCGTGTCCAGTGTAATGCGTGGTCCGATCTCAACGGTTAGTGGATGAAAGCCAGATATTTCGTCGACCATCTCTACGGACTGGTCGGTTGAAGGGGCTGTCTCCATGAGTGGGAGCTGTTGAACCGTAGGTTGATTGCTGTTTGTGAGCTTCTTCTCAATTTGCTGCACCTGCGTACTTCTATGCAAAGGGGGCTGGCTGGTCTCATTCTTTTGCAACAAGGATCCTGCTGTCAGATGAAAATCGCCTCTCGCGCTGCTGCTCTCCGTCCTTGTCGATTCGGCTACAATTGAAGGAGCTTTGTATTTCGGATGAATCGAGTTGGCTGCGCACAGTGCCAACGAGAAGTGCATCCACAATAACAACAACATGCGTAAAACTGGCTTCAGACGAACTGAAATCATGTTGAAACACGTTTACTCTACCCTAATTCGCATCAAAGACTAATTGCGAAGAGAGCGATCGCCCATGCACAAGGCTGCCCAGTCTCCAGTTGTTATTACTGTTGCTGTTGCTGTTCTCAGTTGTACTCGACGATAAGGGAAAACATGAAACAGAAACTTGTATAATTGCATGCATAATGAGATTGCCCGGCAATAGCTTCTCGATTGTCTCATTCGCTTGAGAATCTCACAAGCTGCACTCACTATAGAAAATAAGTCGTAGTTCATTTAATCAGCCGAGCTTATTTCAATCAGCCCGAGAGGCGTCGAGACAGCTTAAAACAAGTATTTGACAATTCAACTCTCTAAATTTTATATCCGCAGTTGCACCTACCCACATAGAATCACTGGGGATTGCATACTTTGGGGCGCTGCCTGAAATTATCTTGCATACTATTTGGAGGTATTTATTATACTCGGAACCAATAGGTAATCAGAATAGGAATTCGAACTTCCTTTTTTAGCCGCCACTATTTCATATATGTAATTGAGTGGCTCAGTTTCTATCTCAAGATCAGGGCATCCTTTGAGATTTAAATGTGTGAGATTTTTATACCCTGAACCCATTGAAAATGGGAAATCGGGGTGTAATGGTTTTGTTAAAAGTATGTAACGTGTGTATCACGCGATTAAAATCCTTATCGACAGCTGGTTATTTAATTTTATCTCTTACACCTTTAAAGCTAGAGCTTCCAAATTTTAAATTTAGACTTATGTGTATTTTGTATAATTTCGCTTACTGCGCAGTTAGCAGAGCGCGTTCTAATACGTGCGTGTGTATGTATGTGTGCCTAAAAGAAGCGCAGAGTGATTAGAATATCTGATTGGAAGGTCCAGGGTATCTCCTAGTCTAGTCTTGTTTTCTCTGAATTACTGTAAATACATATAGCTTCTTGCAAGCATAAAATAGTTTTAAATTTTAAATTATTTAGATGTGAAACGTGATATTATATATGAAATAATATGCTTTTAGCTACTTTAAGTACTCGAGCTCTATCATTTGCAGTCAGCACTAATTTTCCGAATATACCTATAGATGGCTCTTCTCAAGGACAGTTTCGTTAAACAGTACAGATTTGTATGCCTTTGGTGTATCTGATTGAATTTGTAATGCTTATTTGGTATATCCCACTTCTTTAAAGAATTTTACAAGGTTTAATTATTTAGCAATAATTTAATGTACTACGCGTTCTCTTACTAATACAAATATTTTTACAGTGACTCGCTATAAATACCCTATATGTGGATTACATGTTTTTATGAGATGTTCTTTGTTGAAGTTTTTATGAAAGCTAAAATCAGTAGCCGATTTTTGTTTCATTTACTTTTGAACTCTGCTGAGACTCCTAACATTATATGAGGGAAGATTTTCTGCTCGACTAATTCTCGTTTGTTCATTTGTTACAAAATTAAGCCAATCTGCATAATTTTTAATGAGTATACAGCTTTATAAATTGACCATACTATTGCAATAATATTATGATAAGGCCGCAAATCCAATTAGAAATAGTGTCTAGGAGAACCTATAAAAGCACCGAGTCAATGAAATATCTTCAGTTCAGTTCCAACTTTATCATGAAGCTAATTCTGTTTGCTCTAATCTCGATCTCTATGTACTGGTCCAGCGACGCTCACAACTTTTTAGGCCCGGACGAGAATCTAGAGCTATACGCAACTGAAGCTCGCGTCTCTAAATACTTAAACGAGCAGTACCAGGCCCAGCGAGCCAGACCAATATACAATGGACACGAAGTTTTCGATATGATCGCGCCAGCATAAGCCAAGACTTTACGCTACCTCATATTAATTTGTATCTAATGTAATGAGAAAATTCTAGCATGTTGCACATCATATAAAACGCATGAAACTATTTTGTGTTTTATTTGCGGGTGTTCGTTTACGAACAGAAGGCACTGTTGACCTTGCGTTTACTACTCGTGACTCATCGAAGTACTTGGCTCTTAAGCTATCCATTTTCCAATGTAAGCCAATGCAACCCAGCATCGACTTTTTGTTGTTTCGTCTTGCTCTATGATTTTTTTGTGTGAATGCTTATAACAATCAATTCTTATCGCAAGTGTCATCTAGCACTCCGGAGATATATGATTCACTCAACCAACTTGAGTCTCCAAAGCTGTGCGAAAGCGTAGCTGAAACAGTTATTCTCTCGAAATTTTGAAATTTCGATGCAGGTCCTATTAGTTAGTATTAATTTGTATACATCTGCCATCTATTAACAGTAAGATTTCACTTATACAACATATATAAGTAAAACATGAACATTATTTAATTTATTGTTTTTGTTTTTAAATTTAATTTTAATTGATATCAATTGTGAATATTCTCTTCTAATGTATGTTATGTTAAATGCCTTACGAATATAGTTATTATTAAATAGAACTATAAGATTTTTTATCAATATATTTTTCTATATTTATAATTAATTTGACATACTTTTTATATATTTTCATGGTGTGAAATCGATTGAGTGGGATAATTACTATTAATATGCTAATTAATGAGCTATTCCAGTCTTAGATAAGTGATTTATAAGTAAAGCCAGTACATGATTTTTGTATATTTTATAAGAGCATATGTAGGCATGTATATAGTATATATGGCATAAATATAGATGCAAGTGCTCAAAATATATAACTTTATCTAGTTATTTATATAATTATATTTTTATTACTTTTTCCTACTCTCTCTCTCTCTCTGATTCTCTCTCTCTCTCTCTCTCTCAATATATATTATACGTAATTGAGTTCGAGCTAATATTTAAAAAATGACTATTGATTTAGTGCTCATAATCTATGTATATCACTTTTATAAATTTACGTCTTTGGTTACTCTTTAAATATTTCTAGTTCCAGTTCGAGTTTAGAGTGAATTTTCTGCTCTCTTTCAGTACGCTTTTTATGGCGTAACCTGAGCCGCTCCTAATAAATGTCAGCTATTTAGGCTAATAATTTTGACAATTCTATTGTCAGGCCCTTAGGCCTAAAAGGCAGTCAACTACCCTCGAGACTCGAGTTCGTAAACATAAATGTCAGCCTCATAAGTAGATGTAAATTCATTTTTTGCCACAAAGAGAAAGAGAAAGTGAGAGAGAGAGAGAGAGAGTGTAAGGACAAAGGACAAAAATGGCATAATTTTTGAAGGCCTGACAACCCTGGGTTAAATGCTGCTGCTGCTGCTGCTGCTGGAAAGAACTTTGCGCCGAATTCCAAGTATATAAAAATACATTAAAATAATGCGTGTTTGTCACGCCGACAGCTGATGCAAGACACCGACTGAGGGAAGATCTGCTGGACTACATCTCGTGCGCTCATTTATTTATGACAAGCCACAATACGGCAGCAAATGGAATGAGAGCAACCAGAGCAGTCGAATTTATGCAAAATATATTTGTTTGTGTGTGCCAAATAAAAGGCGCAAGTCAATAGAAAGAATATTTTATGCGGAAGCAAGCCACGGCTTACCAGGTAATTGCGAGTCGTTCTGGAGAGAGTTGAGCCCGCGCCATGGGGAGAGTCTTTTGTCTCTGAGCGCGGACAATGGATGCGTCTGTTAATCAGCGCAGCTTTGCCAAAGTAATCAGTAAATATTTGCAATTTTCTTTGCCTTTTGCAGGCAGCAGTTTCTTCATTTTCATAGAGGGAAACTTCAATTTAGCTGCTTTCCATTTGGCATTGATTGCGCTCAGAACTTTTTAATTGGGAAATGCTACGGATAATTTAAGTTTTATTTGAGACTTGAAGTTGATATAAATTCATTTAATCATTGTAATACTTTCTAAGATTTTTTAACAGCTTTAGCCTTACTCAGTTCAAGAAGAGCGCGAGCATGAAAAGTCTTATCTTTGATCTATTATGAAGCAGAGGCAACCTTGAGCAGCATCTATTATTATTATGCTTATTTCGAAGAGCTCTCAGCAATGTGCCTTAAAAGGCCGCAACTGCTTTCGAAATTGGCCAACATTTGCGGGCACAAATCAGCTAAAAGCTAAACAATTCAATTGCCATAGACTCAGTTAACTTTGAACAGCTGTCGAAGAAGTGTGTCAAACCGCAATAGATCTAAAAATGTTCCAGGAAATATTTCGTGCCGTCGTCCGTTTGATTTTATTGCTAACACTTTGGCAGTGCGTCGCAGCCATGGACAGTGAAGTTGTCGAGGCGAGCTTAAGTGCGGCAGCTACCAACATGCCCGAGCTGCTAGCGCCGCAGTGGAGCCCCAACGACACCGTCCTTGTGAGGCCCTATAATATACTGGAGGCCAGCTGCCCACCGGGCTATATTCTGGCCAACAAACACTGCCATAAGCGTGTGCGAGGTGCCCCAACTGTGGAGTAAACTAGGAAGAACTACGTATATAAATAAATTACACTTGTTATTTGGCTCTAATTGGCTGTTGTGTGGATTTTAATTGATTGTATAAATTTTAAAAGTAGTTTACTCAACTTTGTTAGTAATAAAGCAAAGGAAAGATAGAGTTAAAAGTAAATATAAACAGATTTATTGTAAACTAAAATCAAGTTATTTGAAATTTTCATCAGGAATAGCACTGACAGCACCCACTGTTAGAAACATTTCGAGGCTGATGATGTTTTTGAGTATATGAACAATTGTTATCACCCACTGTTCGCCCCACTCGTATCTATGTTTGATCTGAGCATAGATAATGTTAGACTGCAGTCGCCGCTAAGGTCAGGGCACACACACTCCTCCGCCCTTCAGCCCCAGTCGAGTGATATGCAGACAGTGGCTGCCATTAGTTAGATGCCCATTAACCAAAAATGAAATCGGCCATCGCGTTGCACACCCGGGCGCCTGTCCACGTTCCCGTCATTTACAGGTAGCAGCTGCATTGACAGCCAGTCGACAGCAGGCGCTGGGCACGGCTTGGCCCACTGGGCGCGTTTTGCGGCATATTAATTCATGCCATAAAATATGGCTACACTCTGGGCAGCAGCAGCAACTGAAACAGCGCCAGCGAAATTGACAAAGTCTCGACGTAAACGTGGCAGGCTGGGAGCAGCAAAGGGCTGAATGAGTTAATTTAGCGCCTCACGGCCTGTAGCATAATTTCAAGTCATTTATCAGGGACGTTTTCGGAATGGGGACGGGAAGGCAAATGCAAATTGGCTTAGATCATGGGACTAACAATGCAAAGTGGCCAAACGGCCAAATGGCCAAATGGCCACATGACAGTAGCCAGACAAAACATGGTAGCTTCATTATAGCATGCGGTGTTTATTGGGTGTGCAACATTTACATGTCCCGGCCCAGCGGATTGTTTAGCCAGGGATAGACAGTGGGGCACTTGTCGCAGACGCTCATGTAGCGCGTCTCGGCGGTGGAGGTCTTCTGGACGTTGCAGTGCACGGCCTGGCAAGTGGTTTTGGGCGTCTTCTCGCAGCTCTTGAAGGGCCGTCCGAGCACTGGCTTCCTCACGTACTCCAGCATGCGGGACACGCTCGTCATGTACACGTCCGGATAGGTGGTCAAGTGCTGCATGAACCTGTGTGGCGGGGAAGGGTGAGTGGAGTTTTGGAAATGGAGAGGGAATCTGCTGCACATACTTCTTGAAGGCGGCAAAGTAGTTGCGGCCGCGTGAAAACCAAGCTGCATGCAGATACATGCCGAATGGCGCCCGGTTGCCCTTGTAGTGGCGATTGAAGTTCTCCAGCATCCACTCGAACAGGGCGTCCACATCGTCCGCGGGCGGAAAGGCGCAGGCGTCGATCATCGAGCAGCTGTAGCCCTCGGTGTCCGTCCACGTGACCATGGGGTTGACCCAAACGCCGGGCAGCGCCGCATCTGGGCACGGGCCGATCTGGCAGTCCTGTGTGGACAGAAAGTCCAGTGTGTAGGGCCACATGGCTGGATTCTTGTGCTGCTGCGTCGGCCAGGAGCTGTCGTAGGTCAGGCCCAGATTCTTGATCGCCTCAAAGCTGTTGTTGCCAGAGATCTGCAGGAAGGGCAGACGCACGCCGTGCACCCTCTTTGGATCCACCTTGGCGAACGCCTCCAGCATCTGCAGCTGCGCCCCAAACTCGCGCTCAATCGTCTCCACATCCGCCTCGCGCCAATAGTCGGTGCCGTCGCCGTGGGTCACCGAGTGCAGGGCTATCTCGTGACCCGCATTGTACAGGGCATTCACGCGCACGTAGTCCGTGTACTCGTGCGACACGAAGAAGGTGCCCGTCGCGGCGCAGCCATCGGGATTGACCAGACCACTGAAGAGCAGCTCATATTGGGCGTAGTTCACAGCATTCACTGCGTCGTCAAAGGTGATGGTAACAAACTGATGGATGGCAAGACTTTAGATGGTTCTATATCTCTATTTAAGGTTCTCTCTTCTAAACGAGTTAGCACTATAGAAGTTCTGTATCTTTTGGGTCTGTCTGCCAGACTAAAGTAACTTTTATATTAAAGTCGAATAGGGGAATGAAATGAGAATGTAACCCGAAGAAAGTCTTCTTTTGAATTGCTGCAATTCCAATTGATGTGAACCTGCCTTGTATTTGGTCAACTCACCTGGGGAATCTCTTGCTCCTTGCCCTTGAATTTGGGTTTCGGCAATGTCGCATCTGAGCAACGGCAGTCGGGCAATTTGCATTTGGCTGCCGAGCACGGCTCAGCTTTCAGCAGCAGCTGTTTCTCCACCTGCGGGGCGACGGTGGGCTTTGTCTTGTTCTTTGACTTGGACTTGGTCTTGGTCTTGCCAGCTTGGCTCTGGCCCTCGCAGAGCAGGGCCGTGGCTAGCAGCAGCCCAAGTACAAATAGAGTTGCGAATTTCATGCTGGATCTACCAACGTCTATAACGTATGCCAGTTGATTCTCTGAAACTGTGCCGAGCCCCCTGGCTTTTATAACATGGCCTGGCAGTTGGTATCTTATCGAGAGCTGGGTGAAAATATGATTTACTTGTTGAACATGGCTGTGGCTATTACCGTTGGGTGTGCCTACGCTCTGAACTAAATATATGTTGTATCGGAAATGTTTTCGCATACGGCGCATGTGAGAGCATAATGGGAGCTCACGGGGGGAGTTCAACGAGAAAGTAGAATAAAATAGAGACAGGCTGGAAACGGCTTTGACATAATTGATGGAATACCATTTATTCTCTCTGCTCTCTTCTTCTTTCATATCTATTTACTGTTCTTTCTGTGGCCTTAAAGCTCTTAAGAGGAAAGCGGATAGGGGATGATGACCTGCGTATCAATAAATTATTCAAATAGTAATGTATGTACGCATTAGGCTGGGGGGCAGGATGGCTTTTGGGTTACCTGAGTCCTTGAGCTCGAGTGTATTCGAGCTGCCTCAACTACAAACTGATAATTCCAGGAATCGCTCTCGAATGGCGCATTCCCGCCCAGCCAGGGTGAACGAGGACAAAACTTGGCTCATTAGCATAGCCAAAGTGAAGAACTTAACAGCTGAGATTTGCGCCAGTGGCTCGAGTGGAAAAGTTTGTGCCGGCAAATCGAAGCGACTGCAGGCAGCTTCAAATTATGACAAGCCCAACAAATGCACTTGAAATCGTAAACAAGTGCTTCAAAACTTTTGTGGCACGACAGAAGCTCTTAGAACAAAGCCAGAAATCGTATTTGAGTGCCCAACCAGCCAGCCAGCCAGCCGCCCCCAACCGACGCCCATGCTGTCCCTAAGTGACGGCCAATCAGAATGCAAAATCCGAGCAGGCAAAAGTCAGACGGCGGCTGAAATTGGCCAAATTCATCTTAAAGGAAGCTGCAGCTGCAGCCGATGGCTGGATTGTTGGATTGCAGCAGCAGGAGCAGCAGCAGGAGCAGCAGCAGGAGCAGCAGGAGCAACAGCAGCCACTGCAGCGATGCGGATTTCTTGGCACGCTTTCGCCGACTGGCATGGTGCACGCCTACAATTCATTTCAGTCACGTTCCGGGGCGTTGCCGGCAGGGGTAGGTGCCCCACGTGCCGCAGCCAGCCAACCAACAGGCGGCAGTCGTCAGGCCGACAGCAGCAGCAGGAGCCGACAACGCCAAACGAAAAACTCTCGGCTGCCAGACGGAAGTGAGCGACGGCCACCTCCAACTACACAGTCCAACAACTCCAACAGCAACAGCAGCAGCACCACCGCAACCACCACCACCACCACCAGATGAGCTGCTACTCGTGCAGTTCGTTGTTCGAGTTGTAGGGGCAATGCAACATGTTTGAGTGAGTTCGAAGCCTGCGCCCATGTGACGTATGCGCAATGTGTCAAATGGACGCCCCTGCCCCCCCCTGTTCGTGCACAGTTCGTCGGGAGCACTCACAGTAATAAAGATTGAGGGCAGCTTGAGAGCCAAAGAGTTGATTGAAATTTGATTGACAGCCCGCATGAATGAAGATGAATCTTTGCAACTCATAGCTGAACCGAATGCAATGCCCCCCTCTTTCTCTCTCTCTCTATCTCTCCTTCTCTCTTGCCCACTCATTAGTTGCCGACGCGTCAGAGCATGAAATCAAAGCGAAAATTGAGTTGCCTCGGGCATGGGGCATGGGGCATGGGGCACACACGAGCGTCTCACGTGTCCCAAACTGCTTTAAAATGGAAATTTCTGCCGCTAGTACGATTGTAGCTCATATGCGTGCCAAAGATCTAACTCAAGGTTCAGAGCTCACGCACGTCTGAGCCACCAGCAAAAACTACAAAGTGGGTGAGCGGCGGCTGTGCGGCTCTGGGTTGGGCTGGTTGCTGGCGGTGGGAATTGAGCATTGTGTGGCTGCTCCAGAGTTTGCCAATTTCCGCGATAATCACACAACTAATTTGCATAGCGAGCGAAATGGAAGCCGAGCACGAAATCTACGCTAATCAAATCAGGCAAACGCACAAATAAAAACCCCAGTTAAATACACTCGGAATGCTCTGCCAGAGCGGCAGCTCTGCTGGCTTTAAGATTTAGTTTGTTTACTGTGAGTCCGCTTGATAGAAAAATGTCAAATGTAGTTATAAAATATCAGAGTGCAGTGAAAGGTATCGAAGTATCCAGATATATCCAGGCATTGGGCTTAAGCACTTAATAAAACTTGTAATAGGGCAGAGTAGTATTAGCTTTATTTTGTTCTTTATTATTTTTTAATTTTATGCAATAAAAAAATATTTATTATGGATTTACTTTTTCAAAATTATATATTAATAATTAAAGTATTCGCTACTATGTTTATTTGCTTACTCTGAAACAAATACAGGTGTAATACTACTACAACTAAAGGTTCGTAATAATTTAAGAAATGGGAAACAATTAATAAAGCAGTATAATGGAATAACTATAAAATAAAATAATTGATAAAATAATGTAAATAAAATAATAAAAAAATATTAAGAAAAATTGTATTATTTTTCTAAATGAAAATATTACTATGTTTTTTGTTCGAAAATACTAATTTCTTAAAAAAAAAATGTATACATAATTAATCCCTGCGCAGAATATAAATCTGTATAGTAAAATATATTATCTAGTATTTATCTATAATATCACTGCGGAAAACCTTTTATAAAAACCATATATACACATATATACATTATTTATTTATTTATTTATTTTATCATCTTGATTCGTTACCCACACACCTGATTAAAATATCGTATTTTTTACTTATTATTCAGCCCACTTCATTCGCATTCTTACCAAACACAATCTCATTCTGCAGGGTATTCCCAATTCAATAATCATTTCCTTTACGCTATCCTCATTTCTCTTGGTGTTGCCAAATCTTATAATAAGCCAGCCTTATTACCACAGCATTCTCTTTGTTATGCAAATTTGAGCTTTGTGAAATTGTGTTTTCAGGCAGTTTGCGGTTTTTATTCAGCCTGGATTCATATTTGAAACAAATTCCGGTACAAACTGAACGTCAACGAACAAATTTCACAAAATTTATCAAAAATATAATTCTAAACACAATGTCAGACTGCGAGGAGACGGAGCGCAAGGCAAAGCTCCAAAGCGCTGCCAAGCTCAACAGGAATCTGCAGAGCAACGAGGTGCTGACACTGCACTACCTGGGGCTGCCCTACATGGTGCTCTGCCGCAGTCCCCAGCTGCGGCTCAAGGTGCCGCTGAGCACCTACAACTTCCAGGATGGCGAAGCCAATGGCATCGCGCTGCAGCTGATCTTCACCTGCCCGGTCAACTATCCGCTGCAGCTGCCGCGCGTCGATCTGGTCGAGACGCGCAATGTGAGCGTCGAGCTGGAGAAGAAGTTGCGCGCGGCGATCGCCAAGGCGTTGGAGCAGCATCTGGGTCTCTACATGATTGTGCCCGTGGTGACCCGAGTGCAAATGCTGCTGAACGACGAGCTGAGGGATGATTAAAGCTGCGCTTCAACAAATTTTTTCTATTTTCGTTTTTTCGTTGAGCAGCGCGGATGGGTCCGGGGGGCTGTAGCCAAACGTGTGGAGTGTCTTTGGCGGCTCTAGTTGTGACTGTTGCCGGAGGTCTGTTAGGTGTGGCTGGGCATCCTTGTTGTCTGGGCATCTACTACGGGCGCGTACGTGCACAAACATGTTTGCCGTGGAAAGCTTTGCTGTGGCCCGTAACTCACGCAGGATACGTGACTTCTCGGGCTGACGGCGCGCCACTTGGCCAATGCCCCGCCTCAACTATGCAACACTTTGGCCGAATGTTAACACGTGCAGGGACGACTGCTCATTAATTGGTGAGCCAGCCGGTCATTGGGCATCAGGCATCGGGCATCGGGCATTGCATTAACTTATCTTTTATGCACAGGCCAAAGCACTTGCCAAAGCTATCTAAGCGAGGGCTTGAACTGTGCACATGCACACATCCTCGATACACTTCCTTCCGTTGGCGCCGCGGCAGCAGCGTCAATGGAATTGCCAGTCGAAAAAGCAGCAAAGACATTCAGCTGAGCAGCAGCAGCAGCAGCTTCCTTGGGCGCATCCTGTTTATCGTTAAGCGTGCTGCAGCATTGGCGGCGGCGTCAAAGTCCTTTTGCTGGCAATGCCGGAAGTCTCTGGGTAATTTAGATAGCTGCAGTTGTTGCTCACAACTTGCATAATGTCACTTTCAAAGAGTTTCCAGAACCAAATTGCAAAAAACGAAGAGCATCGCACACAGGACATGCATGCACAAGTGCAAGACGGAGCTGGCTGCTTACATATACATATGTATGTGTTTGCCCAGCTTAAAGTCAATTGCTATTTGGATGCCTCAAGACAGAGAGAGCAAAGTTAGTAACAGAGCAGCCAATAAAGTAAGGTTTGAATAGGTTATACAAGTGATGCATTTGACATTTTTATACCCATCAGAAATCTAGTCAATAAAAAAAAAAGGTTAACAGCAATTAAATAGTATAAGAGGAGACCTAGGATAAATGTATATCATTTTCAAAGGTTCCGTTCAAAGATGGACTCTCAGCTCTGAGATCGCTTCAACAGAAAGAGTTTATTTAAAGATCACATAATTCGAGTCTCTTTGTTCACAATATTAAGCTGCAAGACTAACCATCTTAAAAAATATAGACATAACATTAATACTGTATAATATATTTAATTATTTACTTTAAATAATAATGAAAATAGAAACAACCATTCAATTAATTCAGCATAAATATTTGTAACTAAATTTTAATATAAATATATGAACTTGAATGTTCCCTTCCTTCTTAAATAATACCTTTCAGTTTTCGGACTAAAGGTCATATCGTATATCCGAAAATTTTCTATATTCTTTGATTATTCAATATAGAATTTCATGTAAAATAAAAGAATATATATTTAATTATTTAGCTAGCTGTTTTGTTGATAGTTACTAGCAAAGGAATTTGCTAGTTATATGGTAACTAGGCCTAGTGATTAGCTCTTGCAGTTTTCTGTTCTGTTTCAGAAACAGAAATATATAACAAATATATTATATTAGTTTTTAGATGTCAGGAACTTTGGTTCCTGAGAAATTGCTGGTGATAAGCATTTGGCATAAATAACATTGTTTTACAATAAATTTTAATACAATATCAAATATATATCAAATATATAAATAGTGTGAACAATTCTTGCTCCCCTTATAAAGCCTCCTCCCAGACGCAGTTTTCTATTCTCCATCTCGTCCTATGAATTTATTTCACCACCTATTTTTTACGTTTCTGGCTTATCATTTTTGGCAACTTGTAAGTCGACCGCAAACATTTCGAGATATTTCTTTGCTTTTCAATCTTTAATGCGGCTGTGACGACATTGGCGACTGTATGCCCGAAGGATTTGTGCGTAATGAAAAACTGCCAGCACACAGAGCGAGGACGACAGCGACGACGTCGACGGCGAGGACGAGGAGGATGAGGGAGATGAAGGGCAGGAGAGGGATGGCTGTGGCTTAGCCGTGGCAGGTATTGCAAAATTGAAAAGCGCTCGTCGTGGCATTAAAATGGCAAATTTGTGTGCGTCGCCAATGCGGCAGCACATCCAGGACATTTATGGCCGGTAACTAAACGACGCCAGGCAGCAGACAACGCCGGAGACAGGCCATAAAAACGGCGACGCTTGCGTGATAAGCGCATAAATCAGCTAAAGACCAGAGTACACCCGCTCCGGTACGGAGCGATTGTAATAGCTCCCAGCTAGACAGCGCCGCCCTCTAAGACGCTTGTGTGTCGCCTTAACCCTTGCCAGCAGCATCAGCTCGTAAAATTAGCTGCAAGCTGTTTGAAATGCAACTGTCCTTCCGGGTTCTTTATTTATTTTTCAGACTATGCCAACAAGTAAATTTTCTCTGTAAATGAGAAATTCATTTGCAGCCTATTCCTATTTCCCTGCCACTTGCTGTCAGAATGAAGTAGATCGGAAGTCAGAGTTCACATCCCTCGGTTTTAACTGATGTCGGTGTGCTTGCAACAAAATCCAAAATTGATAGAAATTCAATTTAATTGTATATAAATCAACTAATTTATGTAATCGACCAGTGCGAGCTTCGTATTGAAGATTCCTTCTTCAAGCATGTCGGATGTCAAGTCTGTCTTTTTTAGCTCTTATTCTTAAGTGTGGCTGGTGGCATTCGAAATAAATAAATTATCATATGCTTATTTCATCTGAGTCAGTTGGCGTCTTATGTAATAGGTATTCGTTTATTTTAAATAGCATTACAAATTCAATTAGCTACACTATATGAGGAGCTCATTATTTTGACTATTCTGCATATTACTACTATTATTATTTTCTTAAAAAAAAAAAAAATAAAATAAATAAATAAATAAAAATTTGTATTACGCTTTCTTTAAGCCTCTGGTATTTAAGATATAATTATGTATGGATTATATTTAAAAAGATACACTGGACGGTGTGCAAAACTTCTCCTAATCTTATTTTGTCAAACACTCCTCACTTTTAGGCTTTGAAAAAAGTCGATTTCAGGTTAAAGAGGTACATAATATATTTGATTGGCTCATCTGGCGAATCAAAACTAAATAATTCTTTAATGTAACTTTCAATGCGAATTACGACAATGTACAAATCTCCATGCCAAGTGAATTTTTGATGGGTCAGATTGACCGCCAAAGCGCCATCTATCGGCTGCCGCAATTACTTATTTCGTATCTGTCGTCTGCTGTCTGGCATCTCTAGCTCATTGCTTATGCTCGAACACGAAACAAATTCAAATTACAAATTATGTTGTCATTTGTGCGCTTTACGAGACAACCCACCCCCATCTAAAAAGAAAAGAAGGAGGAAAAATAAAAGATACTACCCCCGGGCGGGCGGGCAACCCTCAGATGATATGTGAAGGCAGGGCCAGAGGTCGGGACAGTGGGCAGTAAATGTTAATCCACGGCCAGTGTCTGCGCTTCATTTGGTGTGCGCGGTGTCAACTATTTAGTTTCCGGTTTTAACTTGCGCCATAAACTTGGCATTATGTGTCCACTTTTATTGCATACTTGCAGGCGCTCAGCCCGCCTCAACCTCAGCCGCTCGCATCATTGTTTCTTAATAATCCGGTGCGGAACGAGTGCACACGTCTCAACATTAAGAATGTTTATGACCCCATCCCAGCGGAGTCCAGCTCCAGCTCCTGCTCCAGCTCCAGTTCCAGTTCCAGTGGCAGTTCCAAGTCCAGCGCCTAGCTGCTGCATGCCACACATATTTCCTCGCGTTGCAGTCATAAATGCGCTTAATTGGCAATTTTTGTGTAAGCGTGTTGAAATTTTTATACGCAGTACACACACACACACGTGTGTCTGTGTGTGTTTTCGTGTGAGGATTGTAAAAGTTGCACTTGGATTTTTGCTTCTTCACTCATAAATAGGATATATGTATTCTTTCGGCACTCACTGTTATGCCCACACACTCATATTTTTATTATATTTCGTTTTATGCATTGCCCTCTTGAATTAGCACAGATTTTCGCATGAAACGTGCCTCGCTCTATAATTAAATAATCATAAGAACAAGTATTTAAAAGTAAAAAAAAAAAAAATACAATTTTTATTTATAGAAATGTCTGAGTATGAAATACATTTCGGTTCTGTATATTAGCACATTCACAAAAATTTGTTCTATTTGGATAGTTAAATCGAGATTCCAAAATTTTAAGGCTTCTATTTGCTAGCAATTTGTCCACAATAGAAATTGTTAGTTAGCCGCTGTACTCAATCCACAAGTGTTTCACTTACGGCATTACCACACCTCTCACACAGATCATAAATTTAATAAATAGATAAAAATAAACGAGAAAAAAAGGAATACGCTTGCTGCTGAAAAGCGCATTCCATTTAACAAAACGCTGTGCTAGCTGTGGAGCTACAAGTTTCTAGTTTCATCTGAAAGTTAGTCTCAAGTTAGATGGAATTCTACTACGTCTTATTCCACACTTACTTTCCCCAACGGCACGCTCTGATCTCTTCTGCTCCTCGCGCTCGATCATGTAGAGGGCGCTGCTCACCATGGGTATTATGTACTGGGAGCCACGATCCAGATGCGTCATCCGATCATACTCGGAGAAGATGACGTTCTCCAGATAGTCGGGAAAGTTCTTCTTTGATCGGATATGCACCTCGGGCAGACTGCGAGGATAAAATTTGGGGCACATGAACACCATCTTGCAGCTGATTCGCGAGTCCGGCGGCATCTCGGTATCAACATGCCCGCGAATTGTGACCTCCAGCTGAAAGAAGTGCCGCGATTTTCGGATCTTCATCGGACAGCCGAGCAAGGCGACTGTTCGCAGTTCCGAGTCGCGCAGCGATTTGCAAAATGAAGCGAGCTTCTCGAAACTAGACGTATTCATACTGCATAGATATTGAGCAACAAGATGTAAAGATTTATAGAATTTTTTTTTTAGATTAGAGGACAAATTTGAGAGTAGACTAAGGTCTGATTACAGTTGATATTGAAACTATTTATATTCAAAACATATTTGAAGCGATTTTCTTATCAATGCTAATCTGATCATCTCATTCCGATTGCTTCAATGATTAGACTGCGGTTGTGTGAGGAATAAGAGCTTGCGGATTGGGTTAGTGTGATATGAGGGGTTTATTCTTTTTAATTTATTACAAACGAAATGTTGCAGCGTTTGCTCTAGCTGCTATCCATGCATCATTCGAAATAGATATCTCCCTTTGACTTCATGTGCTAGAGTGAGACAACTACTCAGCCTACACAGAAGATCTAGGAAATATTGGAATGGCTCTTCTCAGGCTAGTTGATTAAAAATAGAATTGTATCTACATAATGATAACGAATTGAAACTAGAGATATTTTTGATTAGTCTTAAGCATAGTGGAGTATATCAATTGCTTAATAAAAGAAAAGTTCAACGCTCCAAGTTATAAACGACTCCCACTACATACTCTCTATCCGCACTACGGTAGTCTCTGTCCACCCTCAAGCTGAGCCTCGGGTAGATAATATTGTCTCTGAGCTAAAGTACAAATTAAATTGAATGACAATTGAAAAGCTAACATATAACCAACATATTCATAACATGCCTTTTGGGCGTTGGCTCGGCAAATCGAAGACGGCAGGGAGATGTCATAGGCCAAGCATTAATATTGCTGCCTCCGCACTCACTTGACTTGGTCGCGTCCTGCTGTCGTAAGCTCTGTAGATTCTATTAAAATCGCCTGTCATTGCTGCCTGGCATCGTTATTGTCCGTCTACAGTGGAGCAGGCAGCAGCCTAGCCCGGCCCGGCCTGTCCTGGGCTGGCTGGGTCCTTGGCAGACATGCTTAGTCCTTTAGACATTGGCAGCGACGTTGTTGTCTTCTGGCAGAGCCATTATTCTTCAACAACGTGCATTATATTATCCTCTGGCTCTGACTTTGGTGCACGGCATTTGTATGCAGCCTGGGCGCGAATTGCATTTGGGGAATGGGCATCCCAAGATTGGGTCTGAGGGCGATGCGCCGCCTTTTGAGCTGTCGTCGCTGCAATTTGTATTGCCGCCTTCGTCGTCGCTTCTCGTTCTCTGTAAATTGTTTTTTCCTTCTTTTTTTTGTTTTTATTGGTTCTTTCCGTTTTAAATTTCAATTTGGCGCTGGCCTGTAAGCAAGATGTATGTACAAGACCGTGGCGCAACCGTGTGGCATATGTTGGCACGCCAGGTGCGCCGCCAACTGGACGATTTATACGCGTCACAGTGCCAGCGCTGACAGTTGGCGTCTTGGCAGCTAACTGAACTGTCACTCAGCTGGAGCCGCCCCACACCTGGCACCTCCCTCTCCCTCTCTCGCTCTCTCTGTCGCCCTGTAGCTATTATTATTATGCCATTAGTTGGGCGGGGCCTCACACATTTTACACCGCATTTAACCCGAAACATGGCACTTAGCCGGCCGCATTTATCAATGCGTGTTAACGTGATTTTGTAGCCCCAAAATTCACACGGCGCATTATCAGCCATCAGGCATCATTATCATTATCATTATTATCAGCGCTATCTTCGTCATCGTCGAGGGCCACATTCGATACGTGTCTCACCTCGCACGTTGAGCCCAGTTGACGCTGCATTTTCGCTTACTGCGATTATCAAGCGTTTCCGTTTCCGCTTCCAATTCCGATTCCGATTCCGATTCCGTATTTCCAGTCGCTTTGCTCGTTTTGCGGCTTACGGCTATGCTCCAAAAATTACATGCCTTTGTTTTTTATCTAATGCTGCGCCGCATTGTCGGGTCTTAAGGGTCGTATAGCTGTGTGTGTGTGTGTGCGTGTGTGTGAGTGTGTGGAACGTGCGAGGACTTGTATGCCTGCCAGACATTTTTCACATTTGCACCCAACAACAATTTGGGACTCGCACTCGACTAGGAACAGCTTTGCTCCAGCCCTCGACCTCCCACCTCCTCTTCCACCGTCCACCCAGCTGCTCCATGCCGTGGCTTAGCCTCTGCTCTTCTCCAGTTTCTCTGTGTTGGGGCTCAGCGTGTGTAATTCGATCTATTATCAGTTGTCATCGTCCTGAAATTCACACATTCGCATCGGCATTGTCGTTTTGCTTGATTTGTGCCATGAGCAACAGCAGCACAATCCGGCACAGTGGTTCGGAATTCAATGAAAAAGACAAATTAATTGGGGAAAATACAAACTGTAAAAATAATAAAAAAATTTATTTATTTATGTAATATAGTTTTTTTTTTAGCTCACCAATTTGTAATATATTTTTTCAATATTATTTAATTATTTTTATGACTATATAAAACGGTTTCATTATATAATATTCACATAATAATATCTTATATATGTATTTATTTATGTAATATAGTTTTTTTTAGTTCACCAATTTTTATTATATTTTTTTCAATATTATTTAATTATTTTTATGACTATATAAAAGGGTTTCATTATATAATATTCACATAATGCATGTACTTTGGTCCCACTGTGCACTTAGCTCTCGCCTCTTCTTAACACCCCAAATTGTGCCTAACGCATTGTTTCACGTGCCATTTGACATCAGAAATTGGAACTTTTTCAAGCACAAATACCGAAAGACAAACGAATACACTCGAAAGTACAAATACTCAAATGCACACGCACAAGTGCCAAACGAGTTGAATATGGAAATGGAAATGGGATGGGGAAGGGGGAAGGGCAATAGCGAAAGCAACGGTAAAGATGGCAATGGAAATGGAGCTGGAGTTGAAGGAGGCGAAGCCGATGCGTGCCTAAGTGTTGCATTTACATGCGAAGTAATACAATTTGTGGCCTTGTGTCCTTCTGCCCGAGGGGCGACTGCGGCGCTGAGGCGTGAATTGGATAATTTATACCACACGCACATATGAGCAGTGGAGGCAGCATGTGCTGCACAAATCCAATGAGCTAGACGGACAGACGGACGGCAGTGGCCCCAGAATGTTGCATAACCGTTTTTCGCCACGGACTGGGGACTAGGGGTTGGTGGTTGGGGGTTGCTGTTGGGGGGGGTGAGCTTGTGTGGCATATTAAGCAAAAATTAGCAACAGTTGCGTGCCAGCGCGAGCCGCAGTCGAATATGTCAAGTTAATTTAATGTAGCGTGAACTGTGATGACTCTGTATGTGTGTATGTGTGTGTGTGTGGTGGGTGTGATCGAGTGCCAGCTGCGGCGCCTAGACAACAGCTCAGACATATGTTACGCCTAGCTGCGATGCTACGTGCAATAATTTGCGCAATTACTTGGCAAATTTGTGTTGTGGGAGCCGCCTCCTGCCACTCCTCTCCCGCCTGCCGCCAGGCAGTGTGGGCCAAAAAATATTTGGCCATGCTTCCGGCACTCTCGACTCTTCTACTTGGCCTAGAGTACGTGAGCGCACATGTTAAATTCAAATAAATTATGCCTCAAGGCATTTTACAATTCTATTGCCAGCTTTTTTAGGCGCAATATTGTGAATTGTGTGCCAAAGCGAACGAAAGTTTTCATATCCTGTGAAATGGCCAAGCAAAGGCAGCAAACGGGTATAAGTTGTGCAATGGCGTGTGAATGCAAGGATTATTCAGAATTTCAGAAATTTGCTCAAATAGATAATATATGTGATATCCGTATGCACTTATATAGGTCTCTCTTTGAGAATTATTCACTCTTATATTAATAATTTAAATATTTATGATAACTTCCCTTTATTATTAGAATATTTAACTGGCATTAATCTATTCCTTACATCGATTCATATAGAACTGTATTATTTGAGGAGTGAGTAAACAAAATGTTTACTGGATGCGTAATTTACCTCGCTATAGTTCTGGAAGTACTGGGTATCTGGTTGTCAGCAATAGCTCGCACTCAGGAAAAGTTGATTTGTTTTTTGCCTCCTCGACTTCCGCAAATTATGCATTTAACTGAAAAATGTTAGTGGAGGAGCAAACGTACATGTGGCATGTGGGCAGCTACGTGAGAGGCGTGCCAAAAACAGTTGCCAATGGCCTGAAAAAATATTGAAATATTTACTCAAGTCTGAGTAGATATGAAAATTTCGGAGGAAACCTGAACGGCTGCCACTTGAACGGCAATTGGTTGCTTTTGGTTTCATGTGCATGTGTGTGTGTGTGTGTGTGTGTGTGTGCCTTTTAAGCCAGCTCATAAAAATGTCAAATCATTTACATACACGTCAGCTTTACGACAACTGCTTGAAAGACATTAATACACTTAAGCTGCCTGGTAAAGGACACGGCATTATCCCTTATGCTATCCTTCAAGCAAACAACGGCGACAACTTAACTGACATAATACAATAAGGCAACAGCCAGGACCTTGGCTGCTGCTGCATGCATAAGAATCAACTGCCAGGACCAAAATGCCGTTAGACAGCGCCAGCAACCCACACACGCACCCACCACATTGCACCACCATATTTTCCTCTAATATGAACCACTCACATGTCAAGCAAGTCGCGTCTGCTCTCTTCTTCTTCTTCTCTTTTTCTATCTTTTTGTGCCCTGTTAACAAATTGCTTTTGTGCAAATTTTGTCACTATGAAAAAACATAACTAACACACACACACACACTCACACACTCGCACAGAACATCCTCGGAAGACAACTCAATAATTTGCATTGCATACTCCTTGGCGAGCAATGATTTAACTTCATTAGCGTTTTTTCCCTCTGCTTAGATTGGCCTGGGGACAATATACATTTTGGTCTTTTGGTCTTTTGGTCTGTTGGGCTGAGTGGCCTTTGCCATGCAATTTTTATCAAGTTAGATGATTATTTTGGTCATTGCTTGACCGGATAATCAGAGCATGCTCTTTGACTTTGATTCAAACATATTTGCCTGCACAGTGGTAAGACATTGGGTATATGTGGAGAGGGCAAGATAAAGAGCAAATACTACTAGAAATACTATAGAAATACAACTTGAACTTAGGTAAATTATAACATACTTTTAGCCGGTCTTTACTTATAGACATGTATACTTTTAAGAGTGTAACATGTATAAATATACATATATATTTATATTTTTTTTATAATAATTATAATTTTGTTTTCAGAGTGAATTCAGCAAATATATTATCGAAAATATATAACAGAATTATAATAGAAATTTTATAGATCAGTAATCTTCAACTAGTTATTATCATAGAATACAATAAAACTGTCATAACAGTCAATAAAAAAAATGTAATAATCTAAACAGGATTATAGAAATTGATTCACCTAATATCATAAAAGTTATTCGGTTCTTTACTAAAATTGTATATATAGTTTCTTGCTCTAGCCTAACTCCTCTTCTATATTCAATATAATTAACATAGACCAATACTAATCTGAAAATTATTCATAAAATGTATGAATATATGTTATGGTTATCAAAAAAATAAATGTATGTATATAAGAATTTTAACATATTTGCTTTTACTATTGAATTGAAATTTAAGAATGTATTTGATATATATATATATCTTTTTTTTTCCTGAAAAACCCTAATACTATATTCCTTTTTGAGTTCAGCTGAAACACTTTTGAAATTATCATAGGTAATATGTGAGTCAAATATAGTTAATGTAAGATTTCTTAGTAATAGTTTCTAATACGACAATGAGCAATGAAACAAAGAAAAGTTGAGATTTTTACTTTTTGGCCTTTATAATCTGACTGACCCTTGACCTCTCTTGCTGCTGGCATTCCTCAAGTCGTGATCATGGTTCATTAGTCGCTCTACGAGGGCCCAGCCATGCGTGACAGGTTTCTTTTCTTTTGGTGCGCTGCAGCAGTCTGTCATAAATTCTAAACAAATAGATTTGTCATACAATTTTTGGTGGCCACTGTAAAAGAGCGCAGCAAGGATGTCCCAAGGAGCAAGCTACTTTTTGTGAATAGCTCAGAGATGTGTGTGTGTGTGTGGCAAAAAAGATGAAAAGCTATTTACATTTTGCATTTGCCTGGTGCCCGGTACTCGGCGCTTGGGCTGGGCTGGGCAAGGACAAAGCAGCAGCGGCACTGCAAAGGCAATTTATCATAAATATTTGTCAACTGCAGCAAACTTATTTTACGGCCGAGCAGGCAGGATGCGACAGGAAGTGGCCGGATGTGGCAGCTGTATGTGACCAGCACAGTGTAGAAATAACTTAGCTTTATTACTCTATGGTCCTAGCAGCTAGATCTCGTACAGTGTAATTAGCACTACAAGTAGTGCCATATCAGCCAGATGGCCAGCACCACGCCCAGCACCAGGTCCATGGGCAGACTGAAGGTATCGCGCTGCGCCTGCTCGTGCCGCGCTATCTCGATGATCTTTTGGGTGGCGTGCAGCCACTGCTTGACCACGGAAGCCTCTGACGCCACAAAGCAGTACTCCTCACGCCTGGCCTTCTCCTTGTCCGGCTGCTTGACAATCAGATTGATAGTCTTGTTCGCATTGGCGGTGGCCAGCTCCAGTGGCCGCTGAAGCTCCACGTGCTCCCAGCTGTAGTGCTGTCGGTACGCCAGGCGCTTCTTGCGCACCTCAGTGCAGACCAGACAGCGATCGAAGAGAAACACCTTGGCGCGATACTTCTTCTTGGTCGGAAAGTGCTGTGCATCGAACTCCGTCGAGCGCCGAAAGAAGCCCTGCTGCTGCAGATCGAGCTGGGAGAGAGAGTGGAGAGTTAGTCTCCTCTGCAATTCCCGACAGTGGGCTGAGGCTCACCTCGTTCAGCTCATCTATGTTGGGTATCTCCTCAGCCTGGTTGACCACATCCAGCTGGCGTCGCATGCGCGTCTCCAGCTTGCATACAGCACTCAGCACTGGCTTACAGCTGATGCCGCTCTTGTAGAATTCCTATAAAGCACACAGTTAAGTAACTGGACATCGACCTTAGTCTTAATCTGGGTCCACCTACCGATATGAATTGCTGCAACAGCAATGGATATCTGGTCAGTCTTTGTATGGGCTGCACTAGAAAGCTGTCGATGCCCAGTTTGTCTTTTATCGTCGTCTGATAGCTCTGCAAATAAAGAGTATCTGTCAGTCGAGTTGTTGTTAGCATTTGCTATCTCTTGACTCTTGCTTACCTGCAGCCACTCGCGATTCTCCTGGCGCAACAGCATTGAGGATTTCTTGCCCATGGTAAAGCCCACATAACAATAGAAATTGTTTCTCTGCAAATAACAAAATGGAAATATGACATAAACAGTATTTCAGAAACCCATTCAACAACTATAGTATATGAATACTAAAATGTCTTTAGTTGAAAAGAAAAGAAAAAGAAATCTCAAGTGTCCCCAGATAAAATCTAAAAGAGAATTTTGACACACATGTTTGAAATTTATTTTACAAATTTGCAAGCATTTTGTCAAACAATATAAAAGCGAAACAAGCGAATATTTCAATAGAAAATTGTGGAAAGACTGACTATGGGATACGCTGTTTAAATTAGTGAAGCGAAATAAATGATGTAAATAAAATGAATTTTTGTGTAGAGAACACCAGACATGATAAATATATATATAAAATAATATAATAAATAATAAAAAAATAATAATAAAAATATCAAATATACTTATTTAAAAAAAAAAGGACATGGAAAAGCATACAAATAAATAGATGCAATTTTATTTTGATGAATTATAAAATAATAAAATAAAAATCTAGGAATATCAAAAAAAAATTACCAAATTTACATTTGAGCACTGTATTTAATATCCGCAATATAATATAAAATTAAGAGAGAGACAGAGAGAGCAATAAAATAATATTCACTTTAAAAAATCTTTTTTCTCTGTATATACCCTTTGGCATCTCTGCCACAGGGTATAGGAATATGTCAAATTAACAATTTTGATAGCAATTTACTCAGAATGCAAATGACTCAGTTCTAGAACATGTGAGCATTTAGCTCAAATACCCTGTGCGAAAATATTGTACAATAGTTGATGCGAGGAATGCAAAAATAAACGAATATTATTTTTACCTGCCCGCTGTCGTCTTGTCCGGGCGACACGTACAGCAATTGTTTAATGCAATTATTAGAGACATGCAAATGCAGTCAACAGCCCGAGGGCAGCCCGGCTCGAGACGTATCAAGCTAAATGCAGCTCGAGGCGAATGCAAAATGCCCAATGCAAATATTGCCACTGCAGCTGCGAATTAAGCCAACTAATCTGTGGCCTGTCATCAAATCGTATAATTATTATTCCATTTGATTATGGGTTTTGATTTGACAGGGGCTCAGGAGAGTGGCTTAATAGTCAGCACAGCAGATAATCGAATTAAATGCATCAAAAACTACACTAAGCCAAATAAATATGTATATATAGTATGTATGTATATACATAGATGTGAATATGTATTTTGCATGTTGAACCAATTTCGAAAAACGGGGAGGAGAAACGCACCCAGCGAGTGGAATATCAATTTTTCAGTGGCTTTGCCAAGGCTCACAGTTGGTTTGCACTTGGTTCCGATTGTGTGTGCGTGTGTGCGGTATGGCATTACGTGACTTAAATACTCAAAAATTATGATTTCGCCAGCAGGCAAGGTTTACTTGCACACATACATTTATATGCATGCATATGTATAGCTCTCTCTGTGTGAGGCTGCGACGATGACGACCAAAGCCCAGACCTGCAAATGGAGCCATGCGAACGGTATTTGCTGGCTAAACAATATACAGCTTTATTGTTTAAGCGACAGTCGAGTATTTGTTGGGTTGGCTGAGGTTAACGTGGGCCAACTTCAAGAACTTTGAATTGCCGCTACCGCTCAAAATTTACTATCGCAAGTTGTCAAACTGAAATTGAAAAAGATTCTACTTTAAATTTATTATTTCAGCAGTCAACTTAAGTACTCGGCACTCTATATTTTTACTTTGACTGAAAATAGCTAAACGTTTGTGATAATGAAGAACATATTTCGCTTCATTAGTCAACGTCTTATATGTAATCTAAGTAGCAATTATAGCACGTAGAAATGTGGCTTAGCCCAAGCAAAGAATATACCAAAGTGCAGCTATATATCTATATATATAGCTATAAGTCTTTTGATAAGATATGAAGTGCATGCAGTTGAGCGACATTCCATAGAATAATCCATATATTAAAATAAAAGTTAATTCCTAATGATGAGAATACACTTTAGATAATGATCTATATTATTCATACAAATATAAATAATAAAGTCTCTTTTGATACATATTTTTAAAAACAAATTGAGTCATAAATCATCGTAATTATCGAAACAGCAAATCATAAAAGTCACTATAAAACTCGGCTGAGTTTTAACGAAGGCCATCGGCGTCACACAATAATTCCTATGACAGCTATATGATATTGAATTTTTGATATAATCTAGCTGCGAAGCCAGAAACCCTGAAACAGTTGTAGCATGTTTCAGCAATATCTTTGGACATACATAAATCGGAGGGGTATGCAATAACTTATAAGGAAATGGCTAAAGATAATGAAATGTGTATTCAAAGTATTATTAAAATAAAGTTGTTATAATAATGTGTATAGACTATTATTTAGGTATTATTTCTCCACTTTTATAGCTTCGAATCTCCATTGTTCTATTTCAGATTCAGCTCCAATCAAGTTGTTCATATATATTGTATAATATTCGTCAGTTTCTTTCTTTATTAATCAATGTCCAGTCAAATAAAAGCTTCCCATTTCATTTGTCGCGATTCGAAGGCAATTTATAAATGAAGCAGACAAGCTTTTTATGGTTGCCTTTGATATGTATGTGTTTTTTAGATTTATGCCCCAAAAGTGTGCGGACAAGTTTTGTGAGCAGAAAATAGAAAACGTCAAACTCGAATTGATCAAAAATACTTTATCAGAAATGAGCAACATTAATGCTCGAAATGCTTTAACTAATCGACAATCCAATTATATTTGAAAGGCCTCATTAATCCGTTGGAGGCAAAGGAAATACGCATCAACGTTCTATATGAAAAATTGTTTACAGAACGCGTTGCCAAAATGTGCCAAAGCATTTGTGTAAACAAATTGAAAACTTTTATGATGAATATTATTCTAAATATTAAAGAAACTTGTACTGTCTCTCACTCTATCTCTCTCTCTCTCTCCCTCTCTCTTTCTCTCTCGATCTCTTTTGCGATGCTGTGATTCAGCTGAAAAGTAGAACATAAATCAGTTGGCGTGTTTGTCGCGCATTTAACCAAAGCCTTGGCAAATCCTCTCAGGCTTAAGCGAGCAAAATAAAAATCCGCGAGTGCTCTTGGCTGTCAGGAATGTTACCTGCGCATGCTATGCGCATGCTGTCAATATTTGGGCAGCTGCTTGCATTCTGGGAAACCAACATGACATAAGATCGCAAACTGTGCAAACACATGCATACATACAACAATATATATTATATATGTATGCATATATATGTGATGTATGTCGCATATAAACACAATATAAGCACACTCTAAAGGCTGTCTGGCAATTTCAATTCAAATTGATTGTTTCGCTGTCAACACTCGCCGCTGTCCCTGGCCACATGTGCCGCAATAGCGCAGCACTTGCCTCACACCCATAGATCCCCCCAAAAAAAGAACATCAAAGCATAAACGATTCGTTATCATTCGTAATAAAAGCTAAAGCTTGAGCTATTCTCGTGATTTGACAAAGTGCGCTTCATACATAGACATGTCTGTACATGAACATTTCTGATATATTCACAATATATCTATAGCTGCGCAAAGCTCAACAATTTGATGACGTCAGCTCGCAGTGCCGGCTATGAAAATTTGTCGTTCATCAAAGATTTCAGCGGGAGTTTCGTTGCTAGAAATTAACGCTCTAATGTTTCTTGTACACAATTTCAGCGATTATTTCCAATCTTATCTGCAGGGGCTTTACTTGCTCCTCGTCATCGCCAATGGCGTTTTCTTGTTGGCCCGCTAATTGGCTGAGTCGCAAATAGCCAACATTCGGCTGTTTATCAATTTGTAGCTAACCAGTTAAGTGGAATTGTCTGCGCAGGTATACGAATGTATATAGAGATAAACTAGTTGAATGAAGCTACTTGTTTATGCCCATATCTTTAAAGTAAATACAAAATAATAAATATTGTTTTTGAATCAGTTTTAAAATTTCATTTACAGTAAAATGGAAAATTTTCAAAATTTCAATCTAGGGTATATTTAAGCTCAGCATTATATGTTTGCTCATTAATTTAAGCTCATGTCATGTAGGCATTATCGGGCTTTGTGTTGAATAATTGCTAGAGCCCCATCCGGGGCTTGGCCTGAGCCAAGTATCTTGTTGCCGGCACCCGAAAATAAACTCTTAATTCTTGTACAGGAATTTTCTTGGTAATTCAATATATGCTCAAGATAATGCCCAATTCCTATGCATATTAATAAATGAAAGAAAGAGATGGGAGAGAATGAAGCAAAGAATCGTGACACACTTGTCACAGGTGTGAATAAATGTGCCCAATTCAATGAAGAGCTCATCATTAGCAATGCGTATACTAAAGGTAAATCAAATTCATGTATGCATGATGTATTTATAATTTATGAGCTGCCGCGACAAGTGCTGAGTCGAGTTGCGCTTAGCATATTTAAAACCCATTTTCCTCCACTTGCAGATGCCGTCGACTACGTTAATTTGCATTAATTGCTGAGTTCAGCAGTAAGTAAGGGCAAACGCTAAAATACAATAGCAGTAGGTTAATAAACAATAGCGGGCTAGCTGCGAGCAAAAACTCAACTGCACGCGAGAGCTCAGTAAATAAATAAAAACAAATATTAAACAATAAATAAAAAACGAAGCAATCTTAAAACACGAAATCAAAAGACGCGAAAACGTCAATCACAAAATCTTTGCACTCAGTCAAGCAATTGTCGAAATATGACGAAAGTATAATAAATTAAGAAAAGTTGAAAAGCAATGAGTATTAAATCATCGTATACCCTGTCCACTATTAAATACGGGGGCTTAGCTAGAGCATTATTAAATGTATATATGAACTACTTATTATTATATTAAATTTTTATTTTTCATTAATTTTTTACTATTTTATTCCTTTACATTATATTATTTTTTTTCATATATATATTTATATATATATATATATATATATATAGCAGTATATATATATATATATATATATATATATATATTTTTTTTTTTTTTTTTAATATTTATTTCATTTAATTTTCATAGAAACTTTTTATGAAAAAATAATAATAATTTTTTTTTAGTTTTCAATGAGAAAATTAATAAGAAAAGAACATATTTTCATTTAATTTAATTTATCTTAAAATAGTAACAACTATTATCTTCACTTTGTATTTAAATCATTTGAATTTAAATAATAATAAAAATATAGAAAATAAATTGAATGATAGTATTAAATAAAATCAATTTGAAAATGTATAATAATAATAATTATGTAAAGTTATTATTTATTAATAATTATAGATTAATGTTTTGTATTTAAATATTTTGTTTTATCATGATTTATTATTGATTTACAGTTATTATTTATTAATAATTATAGATAAATGTTTTGTATTTAAATATTTTGTTTTATCATGATTTATTATTGATTTACAGTAGCTTTGTTTATCAAATCATGATTTTAATTATAATGTGGCATGTCCCCATTTGTAATGAAACCGCTGTTATGACGTACGTATTTCTTTGCATATGTAATCCTCACCAACGTCAATATACAGCAATTTCATAATAATAAATGCATTTATGTATAAATTAACATACATTCAAAGAAATGTACAACTTATATGGAAAACTTTTACACCATAAACTATTTTGTGAATGTGATTCATTAGCCATAAAGATTGGCAATTTGCATTTGATTGATTTGATTGCTGATCTGTTCCAGATATGAGACCTTTCGTTAGGGTATTAAATCCACACTTTGGCACTTAAAACAATAGGCAAAACGCATAGCAAATATTTGAAATTTTAATTTGCTTGGGCGGTTCAAGCCGAGTCTCAGAACCTGTCCCGACAGCTACCGCGAGATACTTAAATGGGGTTGACGGCTTTTATAAGCAACGTCCACTGGTGCCGGCCCACGCCAAATGCTACTCACCTCAAAGTGTGTCGCAAACTCATCGAAGAGGCCTTTCAGATCGCGCTGGTTGCGCAACATCATGGGCAGAATCTCCTTCTCGTGCAGCTCGAGGATCTCGGAGATGTTGCCCAGGAGCAGCTGCTGTCGCTGCTCGCCGCGCAGTCCCTCGGGCAAATCCTCGCACTTCTGTAGGTTTCCATAGTTGCTGATGCCCTTGCGCAGATAGTTCACATAGTTCACCTCCGTCTGGATCAGTTCGTCAATAATGAAGCTGATCTTCTTGGAAGCATAGATTTCCGTTTGATCGCAGGGAAAGAGATTCTCTAGCGACAACGTATCCTCATCTTCGTGGCTAAATGGAAGGAGCAAAACGAGATATCCAACAATTAGCAGCGCCAACTGAATAAGAGCTTCAGGCTTGCTGCCGAGGATCGATTGGAGCCATGCTACTTACTACTCATCGCTAAGGGTTTCAAAACTGATTGTATGTGTGAGGAAGCCGTTGTGTGCATTGTGTGTGGGAGATGAGCTCGTTGCCGAGGGTGTTCCCGGTGTGGCACACGTTGTTTGTGTCGCTGGGGTGCTGCTTGTGTGAATTGAATTCAATGAGATGCCACTGTAAACACAAAACAAACATGGATGCAAACGGATGAGTAACACAACAAGAGAGCAACAACAACACAATCATTAGTTGATAAGAGCTGGACCTCGAATCAGGTCGACAAGTAGGCCAAGATTTCCCGAATACATGCTCGGACTAGAGTCGAGAGTATAAACTAATTGAATAGCCTCGTATTTATCCATAAAGATCTATTATGACATTGAGTTGGATTATATAATTAGCTAAATTTATAAACTGATCTTAGTGTATAGTTTCATAATATTGTGTAATTTAATTTAGATATTTAACTAAGAAATCAGGAAATGTCAATTATTATTGCAAACAAAGATTGGTTCCTTAATGGGTAAGAGAATGGCGAATCCCATTATATTTATCAGCAAACCCTTTATATACATAGTTAAAAAGGTAACAAAAATTTAAGCAGTCATCACTTCCGTTAATCGTATACATGCAATTACACTCTACTCACACTTGGCCTATAATCTTTATAATGAGCTGCCCATCACTAGTATTACTCCCCATACATTAACAATAGTTTGACAATAATTATCAACTATCAGATCGTATTCAATTTCTTATGCAAGGCACGTCTGGGGACGTTCCCAGCAAGCGATTCACTGGAAGTCGCGTAAAAATAAACCTAAACTCAGTATGTTGACATTTGTTCATAAGCTTATCTTATCACGTATACGCCACGTTAAACATTGTAAAATTCACAATATACAAAATACATATAAAAACATGTAGAATTCTCTACTGTGACACGAACAACAATGACCAAACGTAGGGGGAAAATGTTTGAGGAAGCTTCACAGGCAAATATAACACACTAATAAGCCGTTTCCTGGGAATCAATAGGATGAACTTAATTAGTTAGACCCACCTATCGCAATCCAAAATGCTGGCCTGCTTCTCAAGCTTCCCATTCGAAGCCTTTGGCGATATCGAACCGTTTTTTGTAAGAGTAGCAACTCCGTTGCCTTTTACCGCGCAATCCGTTTCACAGACATCGACACTTTTCGGAGCCGTACCGTCGCCCAGCACATGCAAATAGACGTTAAGCACTTGCACAAAGGCTATGGATAGAAATGTAATCGCAACGGGCAGTATATCGAACCAGCTGATGGCAAACATTTTACACTGTTTCACAATATGTCACACTTATCGAATATCAATTGATTGGACATGAGGCCATTGGATAACACAATAAACACAGAATATTTTGCGTCTACGTCGATCGCTTGAATCCAAAATAAGATCGTCGCATCGTAAGCCGCACGAACCGCTGCGTAGCAAATGCGAAAGTCAACTGACTCGAAAGTTTGCCATAAAAATTCAACTGTTCGCCGCGCGAGCTTTCGCTGCGATCGTGCGAAACTTTATAGCAAAAGCTCACGCTTACGCTCCCGCTCTCGGCTCACGCTCTCTGCTCGCCATCTCTCACTATATGTTTGTCTGTTTCTGGCAGCACGCGTCAGGCAGGTATTTGTTTATAAACAAAATGCAAAACTGTAAAATTATTGAAATGTCTGCTGGAATTCATAATTTTACACTTTTGCTTTCTGGCCGTCGGCCTAGCCGTCGCAAATTAAGAATTTCAATTAATGAGTGTAGCCTGATTAATGGCTATAACTGTAATTATGGCCATAATCTAATGCTGTCATGTTTCTGGCTTCGCCATGAACTTATTTGGGCCAGAGTGCTCAAATCACGCCTCATTTTATAGTCGAGTCTAAGCAGCTTTGGCTAAGCGCTCATTAGTTACACTTAGCTGTGTTTGTCCACACTGCAAATCAAATTTATGGCGATGATCTCAGAGAGATCACTCACTGTTTGTATGTATGCAAATGTGTATGTATGTGATTAAATAAATACTTTATTGTCATCGTCGTTGTCTACGTTGCAAATTTCACAAATGAATTGCTCACAATTCATTTTATTCATATTATTTGTAATTGATTTTTGTTTTATTTTCGTTCTCGTTCTTTAGACAATGCGCGCTAACACCCCTCATAAATTGCGTGCTGGGAATGAGGCAACAATTGGTGGACATAGTATATGTTGAGCCCGGCAGATACCAAGAATCGACAATTATTATAGCCCCATCACGATTGATGAGCTGCATACTCCGAGCTGCGAGCAGCAGTCTGCAAGCATTTTGCATAAATTGAAGAGCTACAAGTGAAGCGAGCCACAAATGTTTATATATACATATACATATGAGTGTGTGTGTGTGTATATCTATTTATAAATATTTTTATTTCTGCTTGTCTTAATTTTTTTGTGGGAGAACCGTTTATTTTTAAACATTTTCAAAGTGATGTCACAAGTTGTTCAAGTGCCAAAACAAGTTATTCTCTTGCTGTTGTTGTCGTTGTTGTTATTTGTGTTGTGGCATATTATTAACAATATCGCTTGGAGGCCAATTAAGCGGGCGAGACGCAGCGATTCCCGGGCTCTTCAATGGCGTGCGAATTTTTGCATGATAAATCTGTTATTGGACGAATCTCTTGCCATTCGATAAGCAAATATGTACATACATACATACATATATATATAGAATGGAATATGTTTTACATTTCAATCATGTTTGGCAATCGCAATTGTTAATCAAGTAAATTTGTTTAAGTGATTAATAGAGAATATTGATATAATTTATTCTATGAGCACTATACTTGAAAACAGATTTTGAATAACGAGAAATGTCTCTTATTTACACCCAATACTTTAATTAAATTGCTTTATATAAAAAGAAAAGAACTAAGTAAAAAGCGCACAGGAAATGTTAGTTTATAAGAAATTTAATGCTCCTATACCCTAGACTAATACTCAGATATTAATAAATCCTTGATAAGCTAGTATTATAGTATTATTTACATCCGTTTTGCGTAAATGTTCGCTAATTATTTATATGGCATAATATAAACTATTGCGTAGTTAACCAGATATCTTTACAATCAAGTGTTTATCTTTATTATTACTTCCTAGACTTTAACCATACTTGAATGTATGGGTACCACTCAGGCGTCATCTAGTTTAAGGGTTAAATACTTTGTCAGGTAATTCATCTCTCAGTGTCTGATTGCTATCGATTCTACCAGTTTTAGGTTTATCTGCACGTTGGGATTTGCCTGTGGTACATTAATTTACCTACAATATATAATATAATTATAATTACCTTCAGGCTAAACCTGTTGTCAGCTGATTTAACACGAAATAAGAGCACAATTTATGTGTTAACAACAATTTAGTTTACTTGTGACAACATCGAATATACAATAATATAAATACAACAATAATCGTATACTTTTTTGCTTTAAATATTACAATTAACTTAATTGGCAATATTTGGTGTTTTAGCCTTAGACTTAAACAGCTTTTCTTAAATTTTTTGTTTTTTTTTTCCATTTTTTGGTTTAGGGAAGGCAACTAGTCATAACAAATTTAGTATATAATAATAATAAACATGTGCCAACCTCTAAGCAGTTGACTTATTGCACAGGCTCATTCCCGTCCAGCCAGCTGTACAGCTCCGACTGCGGCGACCTGGCCAAGGACTCATGAGCACCCTCATGGTCTGTCTTTTGGATACCAGTTCAGTGGGCGAAGGTCCCTCTCTGGACGACTTAGGAGGCGGCGTACCAGGTGGTGCGATTGCCGGTGGCCTCCTCCTCCGGCTTGGGCATCACCCAGATGTTGCCGATGCCGCTGTCCGAACTGAAGCGATTCGAGTCACGATAGAGCGATAGACTGGGCGCCTTGCGATGCAGATGATCGTTTTCACGGCAGTAGCGATCGTGCAGCTTCTGCCGCTCCTCGTTGGCGTAGTTGTTGATCATGTCGCGGATGAGATCCAGCCAGAGCTGGATCTGTGCGGGATCTGCGCTGAACTCGCACTCCTGCTGCTTGCGTCGCTCATAGAAGAGTGTGAAGGATTTGGTTTTGGCCGCAATGCCGATATGCTCGCAAGGATAGCGACCGTGGAATACCAAGTGTTTGCCCTTGATCTCCGTATAAATGATGCACTTGTCGAATATGAAGACCTTGGCACGATAGCTGCGCTTCAGCTTGTGATCCGTCACCTGAAACTCGCTCACCTTACGGAACTTGCCCTGGTAATACACATTGAACTGCAAAGGAAATTAGTTAGAGATGCTTACATATCCCCATTCAGGGGGGCTAACTCACCTCATTGCAGTCCACAATATCGTTGATGATCTCCGACTCGTTGGTGGTGATCAGCAGCGTGCGCAGACGCTTCTCCAGACGACAGCAGGACTCAATCAGTGGCTTCATCACGATGTCACGATTCTTGAAGAATGTCTTCAACAAATATGATAATCAAATTAGTGACAGTTAATTTATTTAAGGGCTTTACTTACATTGATGAACTGCGTCAGGAGCAAGGGATAACGCGCCATGCGCTGTATAGGCTGCACCAGGAAACTGTTGATGCCCAGCTTATCATCGCGTTCCAGACGTATGCTCTATAAGAAAAATATACCTTGGTCTTAGTTTCCAGTTAACAGTTAAATGAGCAGATGTTGCCTACCGTAAAATAGTTCTTATAGAGATCGCACAGCTTTAAGGATTTCTGCTTGTTCATCGTGAAGATCACATAGCCATAGAAACAGTTTTGCTATCAAATGATATAAATTTTGATATAATATATTCACAATTTGATGAGCGTCAAAACGGCGCAACTTACATCCAAAAACTCCAAGAACTCGTCAAAGAGTCGTTTCAGATCGCGACGATTTCGCTGCAGCATGGGCAAGAACTCATCCCGATGGAACTCGGCGATTTGCTCAATGTTGCCAAAGAGATCGTACTTCTTGCCACGCAGACCTTGAGGCAGATCCTTGCGCTGGAAGATATTGCCATAGTTCTCGAGGCCCGTAAACAGATTCTTCACATAGGCCTCCTCCGTATGAATAAGCTCCTCGAGTATGGGGTGCACACACTTGTCGCTCTTATCACGCAGCTCAATTTCAGTCTCATCCTCTCTGAAGAATTGAAATAAACAAAAATTAGATCTATTTGAATTGTGTATTTATGATGCACTTACTCTTCCTTGGGCTGATAGACGGAATGAAATTTATTAACCAGCTGATGGTTTGTGGTGCCAATAATTTCAGTCTTTCTCCTTGGAGTGGAGCGAAAATTCCTGTGTGCGATAACAGAAAAGAGAAGAGGTCAAACACGGCAATCTTTTAATAAAACTTATCATAAAGTTTGGATCCAAGTGCGTTACGAGAACAACAGACCAAGAGGAAGAATAACAAATTACGCTACGATAAGACACAACCAGGCGCGGCGTCGCTGAATGAGTCACTGGCCGCCAGAGTGTCAACTGATAAGCGCTACCCGCTCCAAGTTTAGAGCTCATGGGACAGAGGGATTTAAATAATAATACAGTGTTTGCCAAATGATTCAGTCCAGGGAACTACAACGGCGACAACTACAAGCGGCGAGAGTAAATAGTGAGAGGGTAGCCTCACCTCTTCTGGGTACTTCTTCTGATCATCAGTGCCTTGAAATACATTTAGCCCACCAAAGATACTGTGCACGCCCACCGACAGCTTTCGCAAGCAATCGACGAAGAAGTCGAGCTGGGAGATTAGGAACCAGGAGAACATGATCACCAACAACATGGACACGCCGGTGAGTATGAAGCCAATCAGCTGGAAGACGGAAGACACACAGACTGCAAAGCTAGAAAGTAACACCGATGCGACAATGACGGAGTTGAGTACCTACCCCGTCAACAAGGCGCTCCGGCTTATAGGGGGCAAAGACTGGCTCGTGCCTAGGGGGATGAGTGTATCTGTAATTAATGTGCGAGTCACTGCCCACATTGCTCTCCGAACTTATGTTTCTTAGGCTGGTCAAGGATATTTTGGAGGTGGTCGTAGGTCTCTGTCTGCCAGGCCAAGAATGGACACTGTCAGCATCGCTGTTGGCTGCATCGGTTTCCGCGGCTATGACAACGTTGCGCTCATCCGTATTCACGCCCGTAGTCACCATCAGGGGCGGAGGACTAGGGGGAGCCTCCGTGATTTCTTCCTCATTGTGGTGTCGCAGGTCCGAGATTCTCACGTGGAGCACGCTCTTAGAAGTCTGAACCTCTTTGCTCGGTCTACTGCCGCTTGGCCCATCGTTGGGGTCTGCGCCACTCATATTTTAGCTGAAGCTGATATGTAACACCTGAGCTCGGCAGATACATTTTACAAATTTCGGTACATTTTCCAATCAAGTTTAAATTGTTTCTAGATTTTTGTTTTTGACAGCTGACAACGAGCCAACCGAGTTGCGACCGGTTCCAGAGCCAAACACAAACGTAATTTAAGCTCCAGACACTTGCCAATTAAGTTCGGCATTAACAAGGCGATAAACACCAGTGAATCGCTATGGCCAAGTCACCTAATTGGACTTACGACTTTGTATATTACTAAAATGGACCACCTGATGACCAAGCAATCCATAAGCAAAGGCAAACAGGTGTGATGCTCAACAATTTGTCACATATATCAGAGGTAAGCTAATATGGGGAGTATCATTTAGTTTGGAAAAGGTTCTCAAATTGATTTTCGCGCATAATCTCAACTTAATGTTCGCGAAAAACTCTGCAAATATTAATCTAAGATCATGTTTCGTGAGTTGAATATGTGAGAATATAACTAAAGCAAGCACAAGTTTAGCAACACAAAAACAGTGTTGTATAACTGCCAGAATAATAAACTGATAAGACAATTTTTCTGCGTTATCTCAAAGCTAACATTTGATAACGAACTCGCAGAAGTTTGTTCAACATCTAATCTAGTGTTTTAAAACGTAGACAAATGGGGTGTATTAACGTAGACAAATGGGGTGTATTAATACTTGCTCAGATTCGCTCAAGAATCGATAGTTTAAAAAGCGTCCACTTAAGTGATATGCGTATCTCTAGAGCTCAACAATATGTAGCACTATATATGAAATTGTGCAGACAAGATTAAGACTAGACACACTCGTAATTTCGAGTGTCGCAGAAACCTGTAGAAAACCAATATGCCTTTTTCACTCTACAAACGTATAAATAATAAAAAAAAAAAAACTGAATTTGGATATTGATAAATGATGAGCAATAAACAAACAAGAACTCGGCTAATTTATATATGTTTTTTTTTATAACAAGCGACATGGACTGATAAGATATACTAAGTAATATCTGTTAGCCAAACACTGTGGAACATACCTTGGGAAATCTTTGTCATTGCGCAGCTTGGTGGGATCCGCGCTTATGGAACGCTGTACCGCTTGGGCCTTCACTTCATCCGCGTCTGTGCAGCTGGCGGGCAGCACGGCGGAGCTGCTCTCGCTGAGCATGTACTCGACCGCCTCCTGAGGATCCGCTTCAAAGTCTGAGATCTGATCGACCTCGTCTTCGGAGCGCACCTCATCAATGCTGAGATGGTTGCTGGATACGGAATCGGTGCAGGAGCTGAGACCGGGCAGAGCAACGCGCCGCGGCGGGGGTGGAGTTCGAATGTTAACCTGCTCTGTGTACTGCGAGAAGCTGGGATGGCGACGATTCTCGAGCAGCTTCAGGCTAAGACGATCTTGCCGTAAGTAGCTAATTGTGGTCTTCAGTGTCTCGAAGCGCTGCACCTTCTGGCGCACATCCAGAAATGCCGGATCCGGCGTTGTGGGTGTCTGTGGCGTGTTATCCGCGCACGGCTCTGCCGTGTCTTCACTGGCCGCGCGCATTTTCAGTATGGAGCGTCGATTGAACGCGCTCTCCGTGTCCGAGTTGACCGAGTAGGAGAGCTGAAAGGAACTCGAACTGCTGCTCGCGGTGCTGTCGCGTCGTCCGCCGCAATGCCCGTCCAGCGCACTACTGTGACGCTCCAGCTCCGATGGCTGGCCGCTGCGGCGACGCGAGTTGCGCTTGTTGAAGTTCCGATTGCTCAAGTTACGCTCTCGCCGAAACGGCAGCGGGCTGAGATCTTCGTCGGCCATTGTGCTGCGAGTGATCGTGGGAGTGGGGTAGGCGGTACACACCTAGGTAGGTAGGCCTGATAATACTTATCGAGCTCCCTCTCTCAACACTCACTCGCGCCACTAATTAGGCGTTGAGTCTCTCACTCTCACTCTCTATATAATTATATCGTATTCTCACTCTCTTTCTTTCTGCTTTTTTTTTTTTGTGTCACAAATTTTACAAGCTTTGTGTTTTGTTGTTTATTGCGTTCTTCAAATGCGTCTCGATTCCACTTGTCTCAGATTGAGTCAATTTGAATATTGCAGCTCTAGTGTATCCAAATGTATGTATATACGTATGTATCCACACATTACATACACACAATTCTTTATCTTGTTTTGTTTGTTGGCGTTTACGAAACACGTATTCGTATCTCGTGCGTTGGCTGTCAACAGCTGCAAAAAAGAACAAGAAACACTCAAGAATTTAAGCAAAATTTTTGATTAAAGCATTTTATCGCAGAGAATAACAAAAATTCATGCATGCGTCCAAAAAAATACAGACGTACGATAAACATATACTAAAGGCTATTATAATTATAAAATAATACATAAAGCGCAAAAGAATTTACAATTAGGCGAGAGCAAACCATATGTATGTACATATATCTAAATTTAATTTTCGCCCATTAAAGATCATCATATATAATCATAATTAGTTGGGATGATGCTTGTATGAGCAAAATGTGCTGCCAAAATAAATGTATGAAATAACGATATAAGTTCTTGTAAATATTTAATAATTAATTTTAATACTATAGAGATCTGTTGTCAAAATAGGTATCCATATTTATCAGTGTTGAAGTCTCTATTAATCGTTATCGATTTTTATCGATGCAAATATTGTTTTGGGTACATTTCAGACAGTCAATATCGATTTAAGGATTTAAGGATCGATATATTTATATTTAATGATGGATTTAATAATTCGGTAATAAACTTTGAACATATATACTCTTTTATCGATAACATATGCATTCCATTATCGATGTTTGTATGGCTGAACTAAATTGTAGGTGAAACCTTATAGACTTTTCCCACAACCTCCTCTCAACTCTACCGTATCGCCAGATGTGTATGCACAAGTGATTTGCAATTCCAGGTAAAGATAAAGTCGTACACCTTAAAACAATAATATATATAAAATAGCTCTTTTCTCGCATTACTATAGGGCTTTCTAGTGCTTAACTCGTTTAAGTTGCCCGTTAATCTCACAAATATTTGCTTAAAATAAGTCAACAGAGAGCACTAGCCAAAAGTGAAATATATAATTTATTTACATGGCGAATGACGTCAAGCGATCAGAGGTTCGCCAGCTCTATGTGCACAGTCAGTCACATATGTATGTATTCAGTTACAAACACACACGATCCGCTGTAGTTAATTATGTGTGACGTTTAGACTGGGCCAACAAAAATGAAATACACGTAGACTTTATACAGAAACAAAGTCAGAAACCGCAACAAAGGTAAGCTAAAATATTCAGGTGCAACCGGGTTGCACATGTCTAATTGAAAAATACATACATATATGACATGTAATACGCTGGTAAACAACAGAACAACTGCCTTTAAGAATGCCTATTATGGAGCGTTGTGAATGAATATTTGAAACAGCTGGAGCGATTTATGTCAAAGTAATTCGAATTCTTGGGTCGAAGTCAGCTCAGCCTGGTTAAAGTTTTCTATTCCATTTCTACAGTAGTCCTAGAGTTTTTAATTTGTGGCCAACGATATTTTCAGAAATTTTTATTCATTCGTTACAATAGGAGTCCAAATAGTATTAGCTAAAACTTGTCAAAAAAGTTAAAGTTTTTTTCCCCGAATTTATATAGAAAGGCGTAAATTTGCTGTTTTAGATTTGTTTTGAAATTGAAATTATGAAACGCTTGAACATATGTGGCGCATTCTTGGCGCTCTCTGGTCCCGGAACCAAGGAGGACATCATCATTCAGGTGGCCAAGCAACAAAATATCCGCTTCAATGATCTGCCCCAGCTGCAGAAGGAGGTGGACCGTGCGCTGGAGGAGAGCTTGCGCCTCGGCTTCGTCGATCGTCAAGGTCAAATCTACAAGCTCAACATAGACGGGCATAACAAGCCGAGTGCAAAAAGTTCAACCAACAACAAATCGATGGCGGCCAACGCCAGCATAGAGACCTCCATCCAAGCGCACCCGACTGCCGAGAACAAGGCGCAGGGCCAGGGCGACACCGCGCGCAGTCGCTCACTGGTTGACAACTGCACCCGCATCAAGTCGCGCACCTCATCATGCTCCGCTTGCAGCGCCTTGGACTTTGTTAGCACCCAGGACAGGCGCAAGAATGCCCACTTTCTGGACAAGCACCTGTTGCGCAAGGAAAAAAGCGTTTGCTCCATTTGCGGCCTAAACAGCGAGAAACGCGGCGTCGATGGACAGGAGCCAGAAACCACAACAAATAATTGAAATCGAATATTTTAAAGGTGAGCGAGAGGGGACGACGTGAAGGGAGCTAGATGGATATATATAATGATTATTATATAAATGATATTCTCAAACTTCTTTTCTTCTTTCTCTTTCAGTTTTGAAATTTTCGGTTTTATCCCACAAAAATTCGAAGACGTCGGTTAGCATGCTCCAACCCAATCACATTGACCATAATTGACCCATAAACTTTTTTTATTGCGTGTAGCAATTATTTTTTGATTCATACGAATAAACAGCTACGAACCCAGATGACATTGGCTTTGGTTATCCAGCGAGGGTGGTGGTGGTGGGAGTGAGAGTGTTGTCAGTTGTTGTTGGCATTTGATTTGTTAACCCAGTTAGATAGCTGTGCTGCGCTGCTCACTTGACTTGCTGTGGCCACAACATTTTTCGACAAAACGAGGCGCACACACATTGCGTGTGCTGAGAGGGCCCTGAGCTCTTATCTACCAATGCCGTCGATAAGAACTTATCTTTTAAATAGTTGTCGCCATATTTTCGAACAATCATTAGAATTTTCAATTGCATTCGGGCACGCTGGGAATTTCTATGGTAAAGCCCACTGGAATGGGTAAGCCAGCAAAAGTCCATATATCATTTGGTCTTGTATAAGGCCATAAGTCAGCATAAGTTGTCGCAGCACCGAAAAGAGAAGCAAGCCAAACAGTTAGATTTAATTATCTTAATGCATGTGCCAGCGATTCAGAACACGCTGCCACTTCAATGCGTCGTTGCCAATTTGCAAAGCAATTCGAATGCACTTAAAGCACAAGTACTTGAATGCATCTAGTCATCTAATGAACTCATCTTTGTCTTTGTTCGCCATTGACTACTTAAAATCAAAAACTGATTTAAGAGCATTAGCACTTTCAATCAAATTATAGAAAAGTGGGGGAAAGAATCTAATGAGAAACGTTCTTCTATGACTCTCTATTACTTTTGGTAATTATTTCTTATTATATAAATTCCCATTCAATCTATATGTCTTTGTCTATGTGACAAAAAATGAAAATATTACACAAACTATCATAAGGTTTTGCTATTGTATGAGCACTGAGTCACATCCTTTACAAATTGAAATGAATATTATAAACAATAATACGAAGTAGAGTTCTCACTGATAAGCGGCAAACGGAATTGTTTTACAGGTAAGCTCAGCAATTATACTGCTGCCGATCCGCTTGAGGTTACTCGATCTGCTATTTTTAGAGACTAATCGCATCTGAGACTCCAAACAGGTTACGACCAATTCAGTGTGCTTAACATTAGGTGTTTTTATAGCTCTTGCAGCAAGTACAAAAACCTACGATTCGCTATCTCTGTCTCTAATCTATCGATTGGTGTTTTAAAAGCCTTTTCTACGAATTTCCGGCACTGAAATAAACTGCAATATAATCATAAAAACATATTCCAGATACGATTGTATTATGTAGATAAAAAAGGGAGTTTTTTTTAGTTGTTAACGGTCAGATTTCCATGATTTGCCGACAATTTAGTAAAATTTGATCATTAGGTGTGTAAGTATGTATTTCAAATACTTGGAATTTATCAGCCCTGAATAAAACGACTTTATTTATTAGGAAGCTAATGCCTTATGACATAATAATATGCTAAATACAAACAGTTTCCTGACACCGATCGATTAACTAATAACTGATATTTTTATGAAGTTCCGTTCAAACCAGCTTTGTACAGATGTTTCCCATCGTGCATTTTGAAGCTAATTCTCATATTTTAATTATTGTTTTTATTTATATTTTCTATTTTACTGTCGCTGTGTGTATCGCTCTTCAATAAGTTAGGCAAATAACGAGCTGCTGACAAACAACAAAACAAAAAAAAAGCAAAAAACTGACACTAGCCGCAACTGATACGAGGCAGTACGTAAAGGCACACGATAGATCCTAAAAAATTTTGTTAAATACGCTACTAAAATGCGAACAAATAAATGTAGCAATAAACTGAACAAAAACCTCACACAAAAACACAGCCAGAGAGAGAGAGAGAGAGAGAAATAATGTATGTGAGAATGTATGCGAGGAAGAGAGATATATGCATATGACGACTGCTTACAACAAAAACAAACAAAAACGCTATGTAAAAGCGTTTTGCTTCACTATTTTGGATCATGTTTTTTATTATTATTATTATTTTTTTTTATATTTTCTTTTTTTTGTTATAATTTTTGTGCACGTGTTAATTAAACAATTAGCTGGCTGTAAGCGTGCATAGGTCGTTTTTATTTTTTGTTAGTTTTCTAGCTGGGGCTTTCCAAGCGTCTTTCGTGTTTTGGTATATGAGTATATATAAATACGTGTAAGTCATGTTCTCTTGCCAATTTCGGCACTTACATTGCTCAGCAGGCACTAAAGGTTATGCCACCTTTAAGGTCAGCCTCGATTGCAATGCAACAACTCATTGAGTCTGTTCAAAAATCAGTTGAAAAGTTCTACAAGTTCATGAGCCGCAGCTCACACGACGTATACGCAATTCGCACACGCACGCACACACTGAAAGCGCTCACTCTCACACACACACAAACACTAACAGACGCTGGCGGCAGAGTCGTCGCGGTTGTTGGTGTTACTGTTAACTGTTTTGCGCAGACACGACAGAGACGGACGATGACGAACTGTTTTCAAATAAACGAACGACGAACGGCTAAGCGACGGCAGCGAAACGTTCAGCTCACCTGCGCATTTGAATTGGCACTGATCCGGAATTCGCGCATTGCAGCAAGTGCGCCGTCGGCGTCGGCGTCGGCGACTCTCACGTCACAGTGGGCCAATAGGCGAATTGGCAAATTTAAACTAAAAGCTGAGAGTTGAGAGATGTTTTAATAGTTAAGAAATTCATTTATCGCAATATTGTTAGTATGCTTATAATTATTAAAAATATATATTTATTTATTATTAATTATTAAAGCAAGCTAAAATAAATATTGATATATATCCTATTATATAATATTGGCATCTTCATGCACCTCATTTAGTTTGCAAATTTCGCAGTATTTATTCCACAGTGCAATGTGCTGAATCTTCCTCTTTCTCTTTGTAGCGACACTCTTGCTGTTGTTGTCGTTGCTGCTAACTGTTTGCTTCAGTTGTTGGCGTTGCTTTTGCTGCGCCGACTCCGTCGTTTGAGTTATAATTTGTTGTTGTTGCTTATTGTGTTCTGTCATTATTATTTAGATTGCACACTCTCACACAATTTAGCAGCTGTGACCATGTCCATGTCCGTGTGTGTGTGTGTGTGTGCTTGACTTTGCTATGCTGTTGTTTTTGTTATAGCTTGTATTTGTATCGGTGAGTTCTCCGCATTTTCTACAGCAAATTATTGTCATAGTTCTTTTTGTTGTTGCGCTTTTATTATTTTGCTTTTTATTTACATACATGCAGGCGGCATAAATTCTTAATTAGTCTAGGCCGTCAAATACAATGGCTTCTGACTTAAGATCTACTGGTAAAATGATTGTCACCGCTTCTTCTCCTTCATCTCCTTCTCGTTGTTGTTGTTACCTGAGAAAATTCTCAGAGCAAGCTATTATTTTCTGTAATGTCAAAGTGAAAACGCAAATATTTGAAAAATTTCATTAGTTTCATTAGCTGTTCTCTGGCGGATTTCCACTAAAATACCTTAAATAAAGAAAAAACAAAAACTGTTTAACAAATCGAAAATACTTTACGGTAAGTTAGTGCAAGTTTCCGTTAGTTTTATATTTCCTAGGCGTAGTACAATAAGCTCAATACGTGCAAGCTCATTATCTTATCGGCTTTTAAGCATTTTTTTTATATTTTTGCGCCAGTTGGCAATTCGATGACCGCCAATACAAGCATTGAGGCCAATTGGTCAAGTTGCTGCTAAAGAATTTTGTTCATTTTCTGCTTATCTTTTCAAACGTTCTGCTTAGGCCAACAACAATTTATGAGAGGGGACTTACCGCCTGCTGGTGAAATTGAAATTCTTTTAATTTTAATCTTAACTGCGCAAAAAATATTGCCCTTATATGCAATCGTTGCAAGCTTTTCAATTGGCGCCAACCATTTTTGAAAATAGTGCATTGGTATAGCAAAGAGCTTTTAACAGGGCATAACAGCAGACGCAAAGCTTTTCAACCGTGAGACAAGCAGTGTATACGTAACAAGCAGTGAAACGTAAGCAGTGTAAACTTTTTGCCGTCAAACAATAAACGCGTCTCAATTTGAATTATTTTTAAAAGTCAACTTGACTTAAATTTGAAGAGTTTTTATTAATTAATGTACTATTTTATATGGACTTACGCTTTCTGATACAAATTTTGGACCTCGAATTAAATTTTAATTAAAGAATTCATTAAATAATTGTATATCCGCTTACCACCAGTTTATAATCAGTTGGACTTTGTGTACCTTACACTGTACCATAAACAAGCTTGGCACACGTTCAGATTTCATAGCCTGGCGCCGAGAGGTTTAAACAGCCGACGAATTAGCGACTCACCGGCTCATGTTGGCGTTGTAAAAACTTTCCTCTACCTCCAATTGTCGTTTTCTCATTAACTGTAACCCAAAACACAGTTCGATGTCTAACGGAAATGGCCTAATGGCAAAATCCTTTAGTCAACCAAGATCATTAAGATGCGAAACGATAAAAACAGCAGCTCCATTACTGAAGATCAACTGAGCATTATTCACACAGAAATCTAGCTAAAGATTCTTTTCTAGTAAATATTGCCTCATATGAGCTGTTTAGACTAGCATTAAATAAGTCAAATAAGCGCCAGCTCAACTAAAAGCTGTGCAAAATATTTGCTTAGCTGTAATTGGTTCATAATTGAAAGCTTGCCAAATATTTAGTTGAGCCCCAAACAAATCGAACAATCAATACACTTGACTCTCTGCAAGAAGAGAAACCACAAATCAATAAAGGCTTAAGAGCATAATGAATAAATTATAAATATTAAGATAATTGCAAAGCCTAATTGGGAAAAGTGCACACAAACCAGTAAGCAAGCCAAATAGATAAATTGAAATCTAGAAGACATTTAATTGAATTCATCAGGCGAAAATTCCTTTGTAAGGCATTAAAAAAGGCACATGTCAGAACGCCCACGGCCGCACACATATGTACATACATATATACATATGCATACGAGCGCATAAAAGGCAATTACTCTCTTACTAACACACACTCAAATAAACAAACCGGCCGCCGGCTAGTTACCGGCTTAGTTGCTCTCTCTCTCTCTTTCTCTCATTTCTTTGCACCCTGCTGCTCAGAGAGCGGAGCGCAGCTTCGAGCAATGGGTGGATTTATATATGCGCTTGGTAACATGACTATTCTTTTAGTCTGAGCAGCTGCATTTGTTCTTTTTAATTGGCAACAGCATTGGCTTAAGCTAATTAATTATTCATCTCGCGATATGCAACAGTTCATATTTAAATACCAGTCAAAATAAAAAGTAGCACGCAAACATTCTAAGAGCAGGGGACAGAGATAGAGAGGCACACACACGCGCACACACACACACACACACACACACCGATACCGATCCGCTCTCGGTGGCTCTCTGTGCGTCGTCGCCTTCGCGTCGCTTTCTCGTTACTCGGAGCAGTTGCATGTGGGAGTGTCGCCGCCCCTTTAGTCAATTGGAACGTATAAAAGCCGTCGCTCAAGTTCTCCAACAATAGTCGGCGTTCATTGCTGTTGCTTAGCTGCTGCGATCGGTACTCAGGTTCAATAGATTCTCCTGTTTGCCAGTGTGACCAGCCGTGTGTCAAAAGAGCCAAACTCCAAAACGAAAATCTCGAGGGATTTGGAAAGCGCAGCTGGAGCTGATTTATTGATTTGATAAGTTCTCTGAGGTAAGGCACAACTGCACTGGACGTGAAGGATGATCGATTTGAAATTGAAAGCACATACTAAAAATGCTTAAGTGATGTAATTAACTAAATGCCCGAACGGTTTCCTTTGCCAATTTGATAATCGACTTTCGGATGCCGAGCACCGAAAGCCGAACAATGTTGAACTTCGTCTTCGTTCTTTTGTGCGATCGTCTTATCTAAATTTGGAACTGTCTTTTCTTCAATTGATTTGTGGGTCAATCGATTCGAAATCGAAAAGTTTGAACTCGTTTCGGGCACTCGCAGTTCTTGCCTATGACTCGAATCATTCGCACGCAAATATGTGAAGGACAACGACGTGTGTGGACCAAACCTAAACCCAATCCAACGAGATATCGAAACGACAAGCGAATTCTACGAATCGCACTACGAAAATAGTAAACTCAAAATCCAAATTGTTCTCAATCGTGGAGTGCGCGTACGAATTTCGAAGCGTGAGGTACTTAAATTCAACGTGCGGAACAATTTCACAATAAATTCCCAGTGCAACACAAAATCTCAATTTTACAATGATCAACTAGCTTATATAATCCACACAGTATTTAAGAAAACTATTCTAAATTGATAGTGGACTAAAAAAAAAAAAAAACACGCTCGAATCAGTTAATTCTCAGTGCGGCAATGGAAAATGTCATTGATAAGAACTAGCCTGGAATCTTGATCATTTGGGTTCATCGTTTATCAATTTTGTTTGGGTCGTTTCCCAGTGTACTGATCCGAAAGTTTTTTTATATTTTAAGACCATCTGGCACTTGATAGCTGAGCGTAGCACGTGCCACTATTTGATTAAATACGAAAATAGTTATTGATTTATATTCATCATTCGAGTGCAAAGTGCAAGTGCAATTGTAGTATGCAAGTGCATTAGTATAGATAGGGGAAGCTTACATTTAACAGAAAATGTTTTTGGAAATATAATCTTATAATCTGCATAGGAAAAAAACATAAACTAGAAAAACTTATTTAATAATGGTCGATATTTTTAAATAGATACTCTTAGTATTTATTGCTAACCCCTTTATAGTTTTCCCAGACCCCTTTTGAACTAGTCGCAACAATTTCTTGACATTTTCGTACAAGTTTCGCACGAAGCGAAAAGTTGAAAATCGATTTCACACAATTAAGTGTGCGGGGCTTCGAGACAAGGCAATGGGACAATGGGGCAACATCAAATGGCATTAAAATAGCACAAAAACGAAATTTAATTAAATCATGACACTAAAATACCCCCCTCGATGGATCTTGCCAAATTAAATTCAATTGAAGTGGCCACAGCAACAGAGCAAGAGAAAGACAGAAGGATAGAGAGAGAAAGAGGGGGAGTGGGAAGGAGAGAGCTACATATAGTCGAATAGTGAGAGACGTCAAATCGTTTGCAATTTGAGACACGAAATTGCAGCGGAAGAGGCGGCCCGATCGGGCATTACTTGTGGAGGAGGGGGTGGCAGCGCAACTGATTGACTGATTGACTGATGGACTGACTAACTGACTGATTGACTGGGCAAACGGCCAAAAGTGGCAATGAAGACTGCCTGCAGCGCTTGGAGCCCATTCGCCATCGCCCATAGCACAGCGAAAGGGCTTCGCGTCACTTCCTGTCGAGCACTTAATATGATAATCAAAAATAAAAATACAAAATAAAAACAATGAATATAGGGGCGTAACAGTGCGCCAACGCCCCAACTTGCAAGCAGAGCCAACTTGATCTATGTGCTATAAACGCGTCGTTCAATGCGAATTGTGTGGGTGCGGGTCTGCGACTGCGTCTGCGTCTGCGACGGGCTCTGGCTCTGAATCGGTATCTGCGTCATGTCTCTGTTTGCCCTTGGCCCCCTCAGCTACTCCTGCTCTCCTGCTCCTCCTCAAGTAGTGTCTCTGGCATAATCGATGCATTTCCGCTTTGCAGCCATAATAGTTCCATAAGAATTGCTCACAATATATACCTATGCATATATATATATATATATTTATAAATATATTCTATATATTTATACATTTCTATATAGTTGCTCTGCCATTATATGGTAATTATTGGGCTACACATTTTGATTTATTGCAATTGCCAGCTGTGGAATGCTGGCAAATTGAAGCTAAAGCCTAAAGCTCCAAATATGGACAAATCGAGCAAATGCTAAAGAAATTCTTTGCCTTAATTATAGATCACTGAAGGTTAAGTTGTGCAATAGAAAACTGTACTAGATATCAAATTAATTAAAAAATATAAATATATTATATATATATTATATACATATATGTCATATCAATCTAAGTAGATGGAAAAACTTAGTCTAATTATCTATAGGAAATTTTGACTGAAATTAAAAGTCAAGTCAAAGGTATTTACAAGGGGTTATTTGAATATCCTTCTACTTACAACTTTTCTAGAAACAAACTGATCTATACTAAATAGCAAATCAAGTTATATATTTAAACAAGTCTAGAACCCATGTATACTAAATAGCATTACAAGTATATTTGAGCATGCCAAGAATTTCTATTTCGTGCTTTGGCATTCTGTGTTCAATGGAAACTTCTAGGAGAAGCACGTGTCGAAATCATTCATCAATTCATTATCACTGTTATTGTGAAATAGAAGCCCTATAGCTGCGATAACTAGTTCGTGGAGCACAGTAAATAGCCGAATAAACAGATTATTCCTGGACTGGAGTACATTTACACTCTGCTCCATTCTCCAAATGCCAACTTTTATAAACAATTGATAAGTGGTGTTTGTCGGCTGTTATCTCAATCAGTCTCGCTTGAACAAGCAAACACAGCACCCTGATTGTGACAAGGGCTTTGTTTACAGCCGATAAGAAATATCTTCTGCATGGACATTAAACACATACATACATATACATATATGTATAATATATGATTATGATATGCGATACTCACAGTTGGTATTTCTCTGATTCTCTGATTTCGGCAATAGGGAATTGCATTGAGTAAGCGGAGAAATGGCCGATGAAGCACAAGCACCACCAGCTGAGGGCGCACCACCAGCAGAGGGCGAGGCTGCACCACCAGCCGATGGCGAGGCACCACCAGCCGATGGCGAGGCAGCACCACCCGCCGAGCCCGCCGAGCCGATCAAGCACAGCTACACCCTCTTCTATTTCAATTTGAAGGCACTCGCCGAGCCGTTGCGCTATCTGTTCGCCTATGGCGGCATCGAGTACGAGGATGTGCGCGTCACCCGTGACGAGTGGCCAGCCCTAAAGCCGAGTAAGTGGTGCCACCACAGCACTCCATGCGGCACTCCAGCACAAGCCAACAAGTTCTCATTCCTTTTCCATCATCTCAGCCATGCCCATGGGTCAGATGCCGGTGCTGGAGGTGGATGGCAAGCGTGTGCATCAGAGCATCTCGATGGCTCGCTTCCTGGCCAAGACCGTCGGCCTGTGCGGCGCCACACCCTGGGAGGATCTGCAGATCGACATTGTGGTTGACACCATCAATGACTTCCGTCTAAGTAGCGAACACTGTGTGCTTCAGTTTCATGTTCAGTGTCCTTGATTAACTCTGGAATTTTTAATGTATAGAAATTGCAGTCGTCTCGTATGAGCCCGAGGATGAGATCAAGGAGAAGAAGCTGGTCACCCTAAATGCCGAGGTCATTCCATTCTACCTGGAGAAACTGGAGCAGACCGTCAAGGACAATGACGGCCATCTGGCTCTGGGCAAGGTACCAACAGGGAGCTGTCCCTTTATGTTAACATTAACTAATCCCGCATCTCTTCGTCTAGCTCACCTGGGCCGATGTTTACTTTGCCGGCATCACCGACTACATGAACTACATGGTCAAGCGTGACCTGCTGGAGCCCTATCCAGCTCTCCGTGGCGTGGTCGAAGCCACCAACGCTCTGGAGCCCATCAAGGCCTGGATTGAGAAGCGTCCTGCCACCGAGGTTTAAGCTGGAGCAGCTAACATTTAAAATAAAACCAAACCGGCAGCAAGTGCGAAGGGGATAATCATTGAATAGCAATAACTGTAACAACAACAACAACAACAGCACGCCACACTACACATTTTATTATTATTATGAATATTATTACTTCCATCATTATTATATCACACATGTAATTCCCTATAAAATGGGGGAACTTTAGCCGCGCACGGGTTAACGTTCGGGAATTTCAAACATACATACATACATATATGCGCAGTCCTTTAGCACATGGCACTTAATAATTCTTTTTGGCTTAATTCTCTTTGCATTGCCTCGAAAATACGTAACGAATCAGCCTATGGAACTATTTTCTAGCTTTAAAGAGTTCATGACTATAAAAAATCAACAAAAAAATGTAGAATTTATTGCACAGTTATAATATTGCTCTACTTTTAGAAAATACTCCTAGTACATAGTATATAAAGCTCTATACATAATATCTATATGTTCCACATCCTATAAGGTTATGATATGCAAGCCTATCTTTAGTTCAATGCGAAGAGTTTTCAAATATTTACAACATCACAACACAAACAACTACAACAACTACAACAACAATAGTTATCGCAGCAGCAGCAACAACATGAAACAGCCGCGACAACGACGCAAATATTTTTTGGTTTATTATTTTTATTTTGCCTTTATTTATTATTTTGATTTAGGCACATACTTTCGTCCAGCCTCAAGAATTTTCGACGTCCAACCATTTAATACCTTTGAAAAATAAAATAGAAAAGACTCACAGACATAACTTCAAAATTCAAATATTGGTTCATTTAGAATTCTAGACTTCACACAGACAACAACTGCCAACACATATAACATTTCAATTTTTATTTTATTAAATTTTTATTTTCTATTTAATTAATCACTTCAAGCATTGTATTTGTATTTTTAAATATTTGCACAATATTATAAAAACAACACATTTTGAATAAACTACACACAAAATAAGAATTGATCATAGTTTCTGAAAGCACGAAAATTGGTTTTATTTTGTTAGGAAAATAACGGAAAAGTTGCCAAAAATAATTTAATAAGAAAATTACAATGGCAATAGCAAAAATATAATAAATAAATACATAAAACATAAATTGATTCAATAGGAAATAAAATAAATATTAAATCTATATTTTTCCAAAAAATAGTTGCTTTGGCTTATAGCGAACGTAACAAAAGATATTCCCTTAGGGGTTATCTGGAATGGTAATACAAGTTCTTCTCTAAAGATAAAACTTTAATTTTTAGCACAAAAACAATATGAATTAAAAAAAAAAATTACCAAGGATACAAAAATTTATTTTTGCAAATTATTTTTATTCACCTTTTGATAACGGTCAAACTCAAATAAATAAAACAAGTGTAACAAGTGTTATATTATATTTTTCTATAAAGAATTAAATGCACAATTGGTCAGATCTATGAAAAGTTCGTAGAGCGTGGCTCGATTTCAGTTGGTATGTTTCCAATTAGGCGGACGTTTCTCAACGAAGCTAGACATGCCTTCTTTACAGTCATCCAGTTCCAGATTTTCATTCATTTTTGCCTTGGCCTTAACGTAGGCCTGCTCAAGTGGCAGATTTAGCTGTTCGTAGTAGAATTCCTTGCCGAGGGCAATAACTGCCCGGCTCTTCGCTCTGATAGCGTTGGTAATATCGTCGATCGTTTTGTCCAGCTCGCTTTCGGGAACGACTTTGGTGACCAAGCCGGCAATGTAGGCCTCTTGGCCGCTTATTGGCAGACCAGTCATAAGCATATACGCAGACTTGGGACGTGACATAACGCGTCCAATAGCTACGCCGGGCGTATTGCAAAAGATGCCAACGGCAGCACTGAAAACGAAAGTCAAAGATCAATAATTGAGCGATTAGAAACGAAGATTAACTATCTACCCAGGTGTTGAGAACATGCTCTTGTCGGTAGCCACAATAATGTCGCACGAGGCCACCAGTTGGCAGCCTGCCGCAGCAGCGTACCCATTCACCTTTGCTATCACCGGCACAGGCAACTTCTTTATGCCCAGAACTAGGTCCGTACATTTCTGAAATACTGCATCACGATATTTCAAATCATCAGGCTGTAGTTGCTTCAAGTTATGACCAGCCGACCAAACTTTTCCCTCGGCAGTGAGGACAATGCAACGGAGATTCACATCATCCCGATCCTTGTTCAGAGCCTCGTCTAGAACGCACATCATATCCATCGAAAGCGAATTTCGTGTAGACGGATGACATAATGTGATTTCGCGTACGCCATTCTCATTTCTGACCTACGTATAAATGGCAATAAATGAATAGCTTACTAATTAAATACTTTATGCCTACCTTCAAAAACTCTTCAGAATTAAGACTACTGAAGAAACGTATCGGAGCGAAGCGTTTACACTGCGTAAGAACATACATATATATAGTTTTAAAAAAGAATTTTTGTAATGAGTAATAATAACTAATAATTACCACTTTAAATGCACTTGGCAAAGTACGCAGCATATTCATTCAAATAAAAATTTTACTCAGTGGCTAAGGGATCGACTGTTTACCTCAAACTTTTTAAAAGAAATATCAGCTGTTTGCGATCAACCGCATACTCGATGTAAGCAGCTTATTTAGCTTTGCGATTATTTGGCACACGAATGCAACATCGAAACTATCGATATTTGATTTCGTATTATCGATACTATGCAACAGCTGTACGCTCATTTGTTTAGTAACATTTTCAACTGCAAAACAAACAAATGCCATAAGTTAAAGTAATTTGCATTTAATTTTAGTAATTTCACCAATCACAAATCTTAATTACCAGCCAGAGCGACAGGTGAGTGAACCTTTCACACCTGCACATGAATTGTATTCATTCCTTTGTTGTAAAGCAACAGAAAATCTGTTGTTCCTAATAAATCGTTAATACATACAAATGTGTATGGAACGTGCATGATACGCTTATCAGGTATCAAGACCGTTTTGTTTCCGATTATCAGTTCCAACTAGTTGAACACATAATTTTAGTTATTGACGCGTTGTTCATTCGTGCGGCGGTGTACAGAACAACTCTCATATCGACTTTCATTTTAGCTGTGCTTCACTTGGCTAGAAAATGCGTCCTTTCAATGCCGGCGATTGCCTGAGGCCAGTCGGGAACTCCATCAACCGTGCCTTCGGAAATAAAGAGCCTTGGCAGATCGCAGCGATTACGGCGACAACTGTGTTCGGCTTCGTTTGGATCTGGACAGAGCTAAGCAAGGATGAGGGTAAGAGGTCAATTTAAATAATCTTATCATCTACGTTTGTACTTAATAGAGAGCTACATAGAAAGAAATATTCTGTATGTACTTTGAACTTTAACGACCCACCTTGAGTGATCTATCTAATTGATTGTGGTATAGATTATACTTGTCAACTTAAGATTGGGTGCAAATCAAGTGCCCAACGGAACTGTGAACTATAACCAGAGCTATATATGTATTTTGTATATTAATGTAGATCACAGTTCATACGCGATCTGATGAGATTTACTGATTTAAAATTATATTTTCCATGTGCTGGTAGACATATGTATTTCATAATTTTTAGCGATAGTTCTATTAGATATTAAAAGTCTGCCTTTTTTTTATCAGTTTCCATATACTTCTGTGGCACCATTTCATAAAAAAGAGCTTACCGGTTATGACTGATTAATAGTTAGCAAAGGTCTTATGACATGAAATTTTTATTCCCAAGATATAAGTGAAATATTATCTAAAAACTGAATCTAAAATGCTGTTGCTTAGATAAAAAAACACACGAAACGTTGTTTTAACAACCAGAAAGCGTGACAGATGCCATAAATAATATAAATATTTAACGCTGAGAACCAGCAATCGTTAGCTAAATATATATTAATTTAAATTGAAATTCTTGTATTGTATAAGGAACAAATCATAGGAAATAGAGGCTCCGAATATTTTCTAGTAGAGCCCTCCCGACTACCATATTTAAAGAAATTTTAAGCTGTATTTACATATATACATATATATTTGTTAGCTCTTAACTTTGATACTTAATCTAAAAGTGAATGGTTTGCGCTAAGTTAATGATCGATTTTTAAGTATTCACCGGTTGGCTACCGTTACGAGCGCCTAACAAATGTTTTATTACTCAACATTCAAGTTGTCGCTCGATAACCATGAATTAAAATTTTTTGATATGACGACGCTTATCAGAGTGTTGATAATTGAAAATATTAAAAAATTAAATGCCTCAGTTTATCTATGAATCTAACAGTAGTATTTCTTTTCTTACAGGTTTCTATGTGCGCGGCAAGCGTCAGTTCTTTAAGTTGGCCAAAAAGCTACCAGCTGTTCGCCGGCGCGTGGAGAAGGAACTGAAGAAGGCTAAGGACGATTTTGAGTCGGATATTAAGAATAGCAATCAGCACCTGCAATACTCGATACGTCTACCCGAGAAGGGTTTGTCCAAGGAGCAGATTCTCAGCCTCGTGGACGAGCATCTCAAGGCTGGTCACTATAGCTGGCGTGATGGGCGTGTTTCAGGCGCTGTGTACGGCTACAATCCAGAGCTTGTGGAGCTGGTGAAAGAGGTTTATGGCAAGGCTTCCTACACGAATCCTCTCCATGCTGACCTATTCCCAGGCGTGTGCAAAATGGAAGCCGAAGTGGTGCGCATGGCCTGTACGTTGTTCCATGGTAATGCGGACAGCTGCGGTACAATGACCACCGGCGGCACAGAGTCCATTTGCATGGCCATGAAGGCGTATCGGGACTATGCACGCGAGGTGAAGGGCATCACTCAGCCCAACATTGTGGTTCCTCGTACAGTGCATGCAGCCTTTGACAAGGGCGGCCAATACTTCAATATACACGTGCGTTACGTGGACGTCGATCCGGAGACCTATGAAGTGGACATTAAGAAGTTCAAACGTGCCATCAATTCCAACACCATTCTGGTAAGCAAAAAATATCGTATTCATGCACATCATAATCCTCAACTCATTTACTGTTTAGCTTGTTGGCTCTGCGCCCAATTTCCCATATGGTACCATGGACGACATCGAAGCAATTGCCGCCTTGGGCGTTAAGTACGATATTCCTGTGCATGTGGACGCTTGTCTGGGCAGCTTTGTCGTCGCTCTGGTGCGCCATGCTGGCTATCAGCTGCGACCCTTTGACTTTGCTGTGAAGGGCGTGACGAGTATCTCGGCCGATACGCATAAATATGGTTTTGCACCTAAGGGCTCTTCGGTCATCATGTATTCAGAAAAGAAGTTCAAGGATCATCAGTTCACGGTTACAACCGATTGGCCTGGCGGCGTCTACGGCTCACCCACTGTGAATGGCTCCCGTGCTGGCGGCATCATAGCCGCCTGTTGGGCAACGATGATGAACTTTGGTTACGAGGGCTATCTGGAGGCTACCAAACGCATTGTCGACACCGCGCGTTATGTCGAGCGGGGGTAAATACTTTGACATTATATGCAAACTCTGTTGGTTATTAAATTTAAATTCTTGCAGCGTGCGTCAGATCGATGGCATATTCGTCTTTGGCAAGCCAGCCACGTCTGTTATTGCCATGGGCTCGAATGTATTTGATATTTTCCGACTCTCAGATGCGCTATGTAAGCTAGGCTGGAATCTAAACGCTCTTCAGTTCCCCTCTGGGTAATTTTAGTTCACTTCAATGTAAATATAAATGTATCTACATTTAATATCTCTGTTGCAGTATACACATCTGCATCACGGACATGCACACACGTCCAGGTGTCGCGGACAAGTTTTTGGCTGACTTGCGCACCTGCACGGAGGAGATTATGAAGGATCCTGGCCAGCCGGTGGTTGGCAAAATGGCTCTGTATGGCATGGCCCAGAGCATACCAGACCGTTCGGTCATTGGCGAGGTCACACGCCTGTTCCTACACTCGATGTACTATACGCCTGAAAAATGAGAACGAAATCAACGTCAGCATTGCAGAGCACGTATATATTTCTAGTGCAATATTCCATACCACCACCTATACCCGATACTTGTTGCTGTTATTGTTCCCACTCGAAGTATCTACATAGCATTTAATAATAATGCATCAATATCTTATTGTAACTAGGGTACAAAGTGTTTGTTAATGAAATTTATTGATATCAATGTCTGTGTACATGCGTATTTGTCTGTGAAGCTCAAGACCATGTTAGCTACGAAGTGCTTATTTTTTATACTTATTAAATCTTTTCTATGTAATCACCTTAAAACATGCAGTTTGTGGTAAATAACAAAAGAAAAAATTATATGTACATATGTACTTATAAGTAACATCTGTTGCAACAGTGTTTAGTTGAAAGCCAATTTAAGTTAATTCTATAGAGGCACGCGAAAACAAAATATAGGCTGAAAAGGTTTATTTTCTGTTTTAGACATAATATCAACTTGTCTTCCAATATTAATTTGTTGTTATGAGTTATATTCATTATTTAGATACGAACTGCACGCTGTGGAAGCTTGTAACGAATTTAGTTCGCAACAAAGAATATACATAAGTAAGTATATATGTATGTATAATGCGTTTGGAAGCGCGTATTATTTAATAGAATACGTGCTGATAATATGTTAATGCTCTCCTACATCAAGTTTGTTTATGTTTAACACCAAAGGTACTATGTCTTAACTTACGGCTCGTTATCTGCCATGGGATCGACTGTGTTGATGTTCACATTTAAATGCCTCAAAATAAATATATATCATTTTATTTAATTAGCTTGACGTTTGATTTAAATTTACACATAATAAAATCTTGCTCTAAATAAAACTACAATTGTTATCTAGTAAAATTAAGATCATATGCCAGCTTAGGGACACCTTATGAACAGTTATTCTGTTAAAAGATAACATGATATTGCAAATTATATGTATGTATGTGAATTAGTTTTATACATACATACACATCAAAATATTGCACTCTCTCAAATTGGGAAGTCACAGAGAAACATTTTCTTCATAGTCTTTAATGATAACACAGGCGTAAAATCTAAGCTTTTTCACACAATACATATCTATTTATTTGTGTTTGTATATAAATATATATAAAGAGGAAGGCAGAACTGTGCTCAAGAGAGCAAGCTTTGGCAAAGCAAACTGCTAAAGAGAGAAAGAGGGAGACAGAGCCAGAGAGAGAATGAGATATGGTATAAATATGTGAGGCAAATGCTGAGCTTATTCAGTTTTGTGTGATCGCTGTGCTTTGAAAGTCGTGTTGATTAACTAAGAAATAATGGTCTCGTCAGTCTCTGCCGAGGGCAACAACAAGTATTGCTTTGCTATAGATCGCGGTGGAACCTTTACCGACGTGCTATGCATCTGTCCCGGCGGACGAGTGCGCACAATGAAGCTGCTCTCTGAAGATCCAGAGCGCTACAGTGACGCTCCCCGTGAGGGCATACGTCGTATACTTAAAGAAGTGAGTCTACTACTATGAAAGATGAGGATTCAAATTAATCGTGCGACAATGACAGGAAACTGGTGCTGATCTGACTGCGGCCGGCTTGGTGGACACCTCGAAAATAGGATGGGTGCGCATGGGCACCACCGTCGCTACAAATGCCCTGCTCGAACGGAAGGGCGATCCTGTTGTGCTGGTGGTCAACAGTGGCTTTCGTGATTTGCTATACATTGGCAACCAAGCGCGTCCCAAAATATTTGACCTCAACATACGCAAGCCAGCGAATCTCTACCAGACAGTCGTCGAGGTTGACTGCCGCATCGTGCCAGAGCAGGCCGATCGCTGCCAACTAAGTGAGTTGATCATATAATCATTTATAGTCCCAATCGCTGATGTTAATCCACTCGCCAGATCACCAGTGGAAGGTGCTACAGGGCGTAACCGGATGTAGGTATCTGGAAGTGCAGCCAGTGGATGAGCTATCTGTGCGAGCCTCTTTAGCCGCTGCCCGCGAACAGGGTATCAATTCTGTGGCTGTGGTACTGGCCCACAGCTACGCCTGTCCGGAGCATGAGTTGCGCATCGGAGCCATTGCAACGGAGCTTGGATTCAGCCATGTGACGCTCTCGCACAAGGCCATGCCCATGTGCCGGGTAGTGGCCCGCGGCTACACAGCTTGTGCCGAGGCCTACTTGACACCCCATGTGGATCGCTATCTAGCCAGGTGAGTGTGTCTGCACCCCCGACAGAATCTTGCTCATAAATTAAGGAATGAGACTGCTCTTTTGTACTAGTAGCTCTCAAGAATTCTAAACAGCTAAATACAATAAAGATAATGACAACAATAAAGACAAACAAATAAGAGAGCTGCATGCAAAGCTCGGCCACCTCTACACACGTAATCGCTGAGTGCTAAATGAAAATAAAGAGTTACTCTCTGAGCAAAGCACAGTCGCAGTTGAAATATTAGGCATACCTCTGTTGTTGTTTGTTTTTCTCCTCTTTAAAAAAGGGTTAATGCGTTAAATAAAACAACTCCACATTTGACGAATTCGAAATTGAAAGTGAACTGTTTATTGCTTAAATTCCTAGCTCTTATACACCTAAAAGAGATTATTACAAGCGACCCTTAGACGCAAGTCACAGATGTTTAGTCAAGTGTTCCTTTTTTAGATCGTTGACCCAGGCTCAGTTTACATTTATATTAGCTGCTGCATTGGTTGCTGCAACTAAGGGATGACATATTTATTACTAAGTGTCGGATAACGCGCAGGTTCATTAGTTGATCAACATATTAATCTATAAATATTGGATTGATTTCAGTTTTAAATCGGGATTCGAAAATCAGTTAGCTGGCGTTGACGTGCTCTTTATGCAATCCGATGGCGGCCTCACTAACATGGAGAACTTCCGTGGAGCACGTGCTATACTTTCGGGACCTGCAGGCGGCGTCGTAGGCTATGCCCTGACGGGATCGCGTGAAACTGATCTGCCACTGATTGGCTTTGACATGGGCGGCACGTCTACAGATGTGTCCCGATATGCTGGCACCTATGAACACGTCATTGAGAGCACCACGGCGGGCGTAACAATACAGGCACCTCAGCTCGATATCAATACTGTGGCAGCGGGCGGCGGTTCTCGACTCTTCTTTCGGTCAGGCATATTTGTGGTAGGGCCAGAATCTGCGGGCTCCCATCCAGGTCCTGCTTGTTACAAGAAGGGAGGACCACTGACCGTTACGGATGCCAATTTGATACTGGGCAGGATACTTCCTCAGTATTTCCCAAAGATCTTCGGGCCAAATGAAAATGAGCCCCTTGATTATGAGCTAACCAAGCGTAAGTTCGGCGAGCTACAGTCAGATATCAATGAGCATCTGAAGGCCAGTGGTGACTCCAGGGTACTGAGCATAGAGGAAGTTGCTCTGGGCTTTATTCGCGTTGCCAATGAAACCATGTGCCGCCCGATACGCGCTCTTACACAATCCCGAGGCTTAGACACTGCCAATCATGTGCTCTCCTGCTTTGGTGGCGCCGGCGGGCAACATGCCTGCTCAATAGCTCGCAACCTGGGTATAGCAAAGGTTAGTATGCGAACATCTTTGGGCAATTGATCAGTTATAATATATGTGCCTACAGGTGGTTATACATAAATACGCTGGAGTACTCTCAGCCTACGGCATGGCCCTCGCAGATGTTGTCCAGGAGGTTCAGGAGCCCAGCGGAGCAGAATTTAATGATGCAAATGCTCAGTTGATAAAGGATCGATTGGATGCATTATCAGTCCAATGTCGTGGCCAGCTGGCTGCTCAAGGTTTTAAGCAAATTGAACTTCAGGCATTCCTGCATCTGCGCTACGAGGCCACGGATGGCGCCTTGATGTGTACGGCCGCACCTGTTGAACATAGTCAGTTGTCGGACCAAACCACTTCTCCGTTACTAGCCGCATACGGCGATTTCCATGCCACTTTCTTGGAACGCTATCGCACAGAGTTTGGATTTGTGCTACAAAACCGTCGCATAATCGTTGATGACATTCGCATACGCGGCCTTGGAAAGAACGAAACGCCTCCAGAATTGCAGGTGGAGCAAGCGCAAGAAGCGAGTCCCACAGCCGAGGGCTTGACAGAAGTTCACTTTGATCAAGGGGCTTTCCAAACGCCCATCTACTTAACCAAGCATTTGCTAGCTGGTCACCAGATTTCCGGACCAGCCGTACTTATCGATCAGCTGTCTACGATCATCGTGGAGCCCGAATGCACTGTTCAAGTGACCGCCTATGGTGACCTGATTATGGACGTGCAAACCAGTGGCAAGCATGGCATTAATGCAGAACTGGATCCAGTACACCTCAGCATATTCAGTCACCGATTCATGAGTATTGCGGAGCAGATGGGAAGGTAACTCCTCATCCTCGATCAGTTGCCTTGTGTAAAGACCTTATTCTATTTGATTCCTTCAGAGTACTTCAGCGCACTTCCATATCGACTAACATAAAGGAGCGTCTTGACTTTTCCTGTGCTCTCTTCGGCCCGGATGGTGGCCTGGTGAGCAATGCTCCACACATTCCCGTACATCTGGGTGCCATGCAGGAGACGGTGCAGTACCAGCTACGCGTGCGGGGTGATACCTTAAAAAATGGAGATGTTATTTTGGCAAATCATCCACAAGCTGGAGGCTCGCACCTGCCAGATCTTACCGTCATCACGCCTGTTTTCTTTAAGTAAGGCATACGCATTTGTAATGTCAATCCCTTCTTTAAAACATCTTATTTTACAGATCGGAACCGCGTCCTGTTTTCTTTGTAGCTTCGCGCGGACATCATGCAGACATTGGCGGAATTACACCAGGTTCAATGCCTCCACATTCCACTTCGCTTGCTCAAGAAGGTGCGGCCTTCAAGTCGTTCCTTATTGTTGAGAATGGCGTATTTCAAGAGGAGAAGATTATACAACGGCTGACCACACCAAGCGGCGCAAAGGGCGCTGTGGGCACGCGCAACCTCAGTGACAACCTGTCAGATCTAAAGGCACAGATTGCGGCCAACCACAAGGGCATCCACCTGGTATCGGAGCTCATTAGCAGCTATAGTCTTAATGTCGTGCAAGCCTATATGCATCACATTCAAAAGAACGCAGAGCTGGCGGTTCGCGACATGTTGCGTCAGATTGGCCGTGATACTTTGGAGCGCACAGGCTCCACGGTGCTAGTGGCCAAAGAATTTATGGATGACGGCTCGCCCATCTCGCTGCGCGTGACCATTGATCCAGAGAACGGTTCGGCTCTTTGTGATTTCAGTGGCTCCGGTGAAGAAGTCTGGGGCAATTGCAATGCTCCACGTGCCATAACGTTGTCAGCTCTCATATACTGTCTTCGTTGTATGGTGGGACATGATGTACCGCTTAATCAGGGATGTTTGGCGCCAATTCAAGTGGTCATACCTAAAAACTCCATTCTGGATCCTTCCGAGGGCGCTGCTGTTGTTGGTGGAAACGTGCAAACCTCGCAGCGAATTGTGGATACCGTGCTAAAAGCTTTTCGTGTTTGTGCTGCTTCTCAGGGCTGCATGAATAACATAACAATTGGAGATGACCAATGGGGATACTACGAAACTGTTGCTGGCGGCGCTGGCGCCGGCCCAGGCTGGCATGGAGCTGGTGGAGTGCATACGCATATGACTAATACTCGCATTACTGATCCGGAAATATTGGAATTACGCTATCCCATGATACTGAAGCGCTTCTGTCTGCGCACCGACGGCTCGGGTGGGCGTGGAAAACATGTTGGCGGCGAGGGAGTTGAACGTGATTTACTCTTCCGTAAACCGGTTACATTATCCGTTCTGACTGAACGTCGCACGCTGCAGCCATACGGCCTGGCTGGTGGTGGTCCGGGCAAAAGTGGACGTAACTTAATCGTTAAACACGACGGACGCGTGATCGCGCTCGCGGGTAAAACCTGCATCGATGTTGAGGCTGGGGTGAGTGTAGCATGAAGTTCCACTGGTGCAGCATATAAATTATATATTCCTTAGGATACATTTGCTATGAAAACACCTGGTGGCGGTGGCTATGGACTTGAAGATGACTCCTCTACAGCTGACCAGCAAGGCATTGAGAACATACAGAGGTTCGTGGAACGGGGCACTGTGCACAATTATCGCCAATCACAGGAATCAGCTTAAATGTGCAATAAATGATTATTACTTTATATTTGTTTTTACATACATAAGTAAAAAATAAACAAGATTTATTCATAAATGTGTTTACCAACAATAGCGAACGTATGTATGTTAAAGAATAAGTGGGTATGTTTATCAAAAATTAAAAATGCACATTTAGTCACTCAAAATTTGCACCAAATAAATAACGGCAGTTGGTTGTGAACTAGAGTGACCAGATTGTTAAATAAAAGGCCGGTCCAAGCTGCAGTAACACTTGCACGGAACAGCTGATTAAGTATCGATACCGAGTTCTTTTCAAGCTGGTTATGTTACTGTTAATGCTAAATAACATTGGAGTGAACAGTTTCAATAGCAGATTTTTTTGTAAACAATATGGACGTGCACGTGTTGCGCTCATAAAACAAATTGAATTTAAAAATATTTCTGAGTGCTTTGAACAGTTTGCGCACTTGCAATCAATAAATATCTTACACGAAAATGGCCGCAATAACAGAAAAATCAAAAGACACGAATACTTTTCGCGTAAGTAGCTTTCGGTTTTTTGTGACCTTTTGAAACAATTTTCGTGTCTCCTTACAGTTCAAATCGTTCACCGATAGAGTGAATGAGATCGACTTGCGCCATTTGGCACTCTACCATATAGGTCACAAATATGAACAGCTCGAGGAGGCGGATAATGAGACGTACTTCCAACAAACACTGCAGAAATGGAACGTGCTGAATCTCACCGAAGAATACAACTACTTCAGCAAGCAGTGTCGCAAGATAGTCACACTGCCGCAGCTGCTGCACCAGAAGAATTTTGTGATTGATCTGCTGCTTGAGCGCCTATCCACGGCTACAAACTTATCACAACAGCCACTGCTGGAACTGCTCTATGTGTTGGCTCGCGATCTCCGTGAAGAGTTCTATGCTTACTTTCAGCGCGTGCTAGATCGACTGATATGCCTCCTGAACACTCAGGATGCCGAGCAACTAGAGTGGACGCTAATTTGTCTGGCTCATTTGTTCAAAACACTAAAGTCTTATCTGAAACGTAATATTGGCGTCGTCTTCAATGCGATTTTGCCGCTGTTGGACGAACAGCATTACGCAGAGCACGTGACGAACTTCGCCGTTGAATGCTTTGCTTACATAGCCCGAGATGTTCGCGATTTTCCACGTTTCCTTGCCTACGTGCCGCAAACGGTGCTCCGGGAGCAGGTGGAAAGCGTGCATGGCTGTGGACGACTGCTATACGAGATACTGCGTGGGGTCAACGGTCACTTGCACACATGTGCCGCAGATCTTCTAGCTCATGTTCTGGAATTGCTAGTCAACTCCGATGGCAGCCACACCAACGCCCAGACGTCACTGCTCGCAGACATTGTGAGCCATTGCTTCGGGCTGTTGCTCAACTTTATGCGAGCCGATCAAAGTGTCGTGCTCTGGCAACAGCTGTGTGCTGCCATATCCAAGGAGGAGCTCAGCGGGGCAGCCACGGTTCAGCTACTGGAACTTATATTGCCACTTATTACACATAAGGGCGGTCGCTATGTAGCAGAGCTGTCGCTTTTGGTGCCCACTGTCTTAAAGCTGCTGGATCGTCATATGAAAGCCAATGCAGAGCCGCTGCAGCAGCTGAGTACCTTGGTTAGCAGCTTGTTGCAGGCACCACAGGTGCAGCTCGACCAGCTGGATGCCAGTCGCATACTCCAAAAACAGCTCAACGTCAGCAAAGTGTCACGTGAAGTGTACGCAGACTTTATTCTGCAGATGCTGGATTACAAGTTGTTTGAGATCATGGTCCTTCCACATGTTGTAGCGCACTATGAGGAGCACAAGGATATTGCTGCCCTCGAACTTTTGGCCCGCATCGTGCAGCACAAACGACCACTACATGTTGACGCTGCAAGCCTATTGAGTTGGCTGCCCTATCCCATGCAGCTGAAACAACAATCGACTCAGCAGCACTTGGAGCAGCACATTCAGCGCATTGATGTGACCGAGGAACAGCAACTGCTGCTGCTATTGCTGCTGCCTCATTTGCGCGGCTTCAACAAGCAGCCACTGGAAGCCAGTCTTAAGTCAGCCATCGAAGATCAGCTGGCCCTAAATACTCCCGAATGCACGCTGCTGCTGCTGCTATTGCAGACCCACTCTCTGCTCAAGTTCAAGTTGCCCAAAGAGCTGCGCGCACAGCTGCAGCAGAGTTTGCTTCCACTCGTGGGTGGCGACTTGCGAGCTCTGGGCTGTCTACAGCTCCTCTTACTAAACACGAGTAAGGGAGACTGGACGCCTAAAGCAACGGAAGATAGCTTAGCTGCTGTGTCCAAGCTACTAAGTGACCCGATGGCACAGCGCCGTCGCATTGCAGCGCACTGCTTGGAGTTGCTGGGAAACATTCAGGGCAAGCTCAATCCCTATGAATATTTTGCTGCCGCTTGTCGCATTGAGCTCACGGTTCACAATTACCGAGAACTACTGCTGCAGCTGCAGCAGTTGGAGCCGGCGGCAGCCCAGTTTAAGCAATACGAACAGCTGCCGCATTACAAAGAGCATGCTGTCAGCCTGCTGCTCGGCTTGTTGTACAACAACTTTAAATTTGTATGGGCACCTGTGCAACAGCTGCTGGCTGAGTATGTCAAGGTCATGACCACAGAGGAGTTCTGGACCTTGTTTAAGGAGAAGCTTCTACAGACGGTCGCTTGCATTGACTACAATGTGGAGTCAACCGCCCTGGAGCAGCCACCACAGCCAAGCTACAACTCCCATGCCCTCTCCTCGCTGTTGCCGTTGGATGAGGCGCAGCTACAGCTGACGTTGCAGCAAGCTCTGAACTACCGTCAACTGCTGTGGCAATGTATTCCCAAGCTGGGACATATTGCGGAGGTGAAAAATGCGGACATAGTGCGTCTATTCCTGCAGTTCGTGGAGCGCGAATACCGCGCACAGCTGGAGCGCACCGAACACACATGGAATTTGAATGAGTCAAGCGGTGAGCATTTCAATATCTTTTCTAATCATCACAGCTTATGTACTTATCATTCGGTTATTTCAGTGGATGACATTGAAGTTGACGATGGGGAAAACGAAAATTCTGAGAAGACTCCGACGACGAGTATGACACGAGGCTCAACTGATCGCCATAAGAAGAAGACCCGCAATGCTCATGCTAAGTTCATTCTTCAGACGCTGCAGCTTAAGCTGGCTTGTTTCGTATCGCAGCCGAATCCAAAGGCACTTCACCGGGAGGCAGAGATGCGTGAGTTTTATCTGGAGCTGCTCGCTGGCCCCAACGGGACTCTGCAGCAGCTGGCGTTGGACTGTCTGGCCGCATACAAGCAGCCCGCTGCGCTAGTGCAGCAGAAACAACAGTTGGCGGGGCTCATCGACGATGGCAAGTTCAAGACAACGCTAACTGCCCTGGATGTAACTACTTTGACTACGCAACAGCGCACCGAGCTGATGCCCTACATACTGCGAGTGCTCTACGGCCATCTCATCAAGGGCGGCCAACGCCAGCTTAGTGGACAGCAGCGCAAGACGCTGATTCTGCGCTTTCTGGGCCAGCTGGAGGAGGAGGAGATATTCAACTTCTTAAAAATGGCGTTTGGACGCTTCGAGGAGTACACTAGCCAGCCCATCGATCTGCTGGCAGGATACGTAAAGTCACATTTTGAGCCCACGGCTGTAATTTCTGCACGTCAACTACAACGAATTGTCAATCTGCTGGAGCTCATAAGGAAGGAGTTCGCGGGCCGCTTGAGCGCTGCCTTCCAGCTGTACGTGTTGAAGCTGCTGCTCTTGGTGGGCAGTGTCTCGCAGCAGGTGATCGAGGGCAAGGGCGTCGAAGCTGTCAAACTGATGACAGCCTACAAGAACGTGCGACACGCAGCTCTGCAAACGTTGGTCAACTACTTTGGACAGCTGTTGGACATGTCAGAATTGTGGACCAAGGAGCAACTTCAGGCTGTTTGCGAGGTCTTTGTCTGGCCAGGGCTTAGCCGTCTGCCCCAAGACTCTATACACACGCCCACACCTCTGCTCAAGCTGCTGCTGCTGTGGGGTGGAGAGCCCGCCTATCAGATCTTGTTGCAGCAGAGTCCATCGCCCCAGTCGCCACCCATTATGCACTATCTGATTGCTCTGCTCCTGAACGACAAATCCAAGCCCATCGTGCGACGATCACTTCTGCAGCTAGTCGAGCAACTTCTGGAAAGCGCCAGCACGGAAGAATATGGCCCGCAAGCCTTGGCGACTCTGCAGCCGTACATACCCGACGTGCTGCAGCTCATGCTGGCCAATTGGCGCCAGAAACGAGCCGGCAAGCAGTCGCTGGACAAAAGGGAGCTCAATATCTTAAGCCTCTTGACGGTGCACGTGCACCAGCCAGAAACGTGTGAGATGTTGCTACAGTTGTTGCTACCCATTTTCACCAAACAGGCGGCGGGTGCGAGTGCCGAAGCTGTTTTCCAGCTGATAACCACGCTGTCGAATCTGAGCAAGCGCGTGCCCGCTCCCGACAACTATGTGCGGCAGCTGGCGCCACTCTTCGAGCAGGTGCATGACCTGCCGGCACGTAAGCTACTCTGCGAGATGCTTGCAAACATGGCCAAGCATCTAGTGAACGAGGCCAAAAAGCAGCCCGAGCTCTCCGCTGCTGCGACAAAGGTGCGGGAATGGGCGCGCTTTGTCCTACAGCTGAATGCCTGGGACAAGCGCTGGCTGGAGCAGCCCGATTATGACAAGCGGCTACAGGCGCTGACCGAACTGAAGCAGCTGCTAGAGCAGAAGGATAATCAGAGGCCAATCGACCTAGAACTGGGCCTCTTGGTGACCTACAACTGTTTCTACATGCTGCGCCACGACTCGGACTTGGGCATGCGCGTCAACATTGGCGAGCTGCTAAAGATGTTGCTCCCGCAGCTCACAAACCAGCTGCAGCAGTTGTCCAGCAGGGACGAGCTGCGCTTCTGGCTAGATGAGTGTCTGCTGCCGTTGCTCCAGCGCTGTCTGCGCGACGAGCGCCATGAGCACGCACGAAATGAAGCCATTGGCCTGCTTGGAGAACTGGCACGCCAAAGCTCAAATGCACATGAAGTGCTGCGCGATCTTGCCCCATTGGCCGACTCCCATGACCCAGAGGTGGATTTCTTTGAGAATATGCTTCATTTGCAGACACAGCGCCATGGACGTGGCTTGCAGCGACTGGTGAACATAGCCGGGGGCGCCAGTTGGCGAGAGACTCCGCCCTGCGCGCGCACGCTAACCCAGTTCTTACTGCCGCTGGCCACACGATATTTGTTAAGTGAAAAACATGCGGGCAAGCACACGCTGGTGGACGCGGCGATCGAGGCGGTGGGCGTCATGTGCGAGCAGCTTCCCTGGCAGCAGTACCACGCCGTCCTGCGTCATTATCTGCAGCGTCTGCGACTGTCCCATGGCCAGCAGAAGCAATGCGTGCGCTTGGTGGTGCGCATTCTCGATGCCTTCCACTTCGATCTAACCCACGCAAATACAGACGCGTCCTTTCTGGTCCAACTCAAACAAAAACTGGCCGAAACACCAGTTGAGAACACTGAGCAAGCAAACGAAGAAGAATCCGAGGAAAAATCTGTTAAAGAAGAGGATCCTGACGATAGCGCAGATATTGATTTTGATGAGGACAAGGTGGAGGAAGAGGAGCCACCCAAGGAACGAAAACTCTCCCAACCATTGGCACCCAATGCGGCCAAGCGCGTCATGAGCACCATCACCAGTGTCCTGCTGCCCACACTCAATCGAGCCATTACCGAGAAGACCAATTATGACGCCAAGCACAAAGTCAACCGCCGCCGTCTGAGCTATGAGCGGGAAGAGGAGGAGATACAGCGTGTGCCCATTGCCTTGGCCATGGTCAAGCTATTGCAGAAGCTGCCACAGGAGCTATTGGATAACAGCTTGCCAGGTATGTCTATATTAATAGATGCTGATAGTTGTGTATAGATTTTGATCTGTCATCTCTCTGTTGCCAGGCATTTTCATGAAGGTGTGCACATTCCTGCGATCACCCCTGAAATCAGTCCGCATGCTCACCCGAGACATCCTCAAGAAGATCATGCTCACCCTGGGCGGCAGTTATCTGGGTCTGCTGCTGGAGCAGCTGCAGTCGTTGCTCACGCGTGGCTTTCAGGTGCACGTGCTGTCGGTGACGCTGCACGGGGTGCTGGACGCACTGCGTGACCAACTGCAGCCGGCGCACATCGAGCATTGCCTGCAAAACCTGCTTGAAGTGGCGCTTAACGACATTTTCGGCGATGTCAATGCCGAGAAGGAGGTGGACAAAATCGTTGCGCATACGCCTGAAGCAAAGCCCAGCGCCAAGAGCTATTTGACCCTGAATATTGCGGCGCGCTACATTCGCGACAACTGTCTGCTGGACCTGCTGATGCCCTTCAAGGAGCACCTGGCGCGCTCCCACTCGCGGAAGGTGACGCAAAAGATACAGGAGTGCTTCGCCAAGATTGTGGCTGGTCTCGTGGAGAACACACACATAGCCCGAGAGAGTCTGTTGATTTTCATTTACGGCACCATGTCGGAGAGCATCACAGACTTGCTCCCGGGAACGCAGAAGAGGCAGCTCACTGAAAAGCAACAGGCGCTGATGCGTCGGGCCCGGCCGGACTGCTTGCTGCTGCAGCCAGCGCCTGGACGCCGCAGCGTTGCAACTGGCAACAAGCAGGTCAAGTCGAACGCCCAAGCCAACGCGCACATATTGATTGAATTCGGACTGGAGCTGCTTCATTTCGTGCTGAAACGTAAAAAGATTGCGGAGCTGGATTATCAGCCCTTCCTGCATCCGTTGCTGCCTCTGCTGCAGGACGCCTTGAGCAGCAATCACGCCCGAACCACAACTTATGCACTTAAGTGCTACACAGCGATCTGGATGGGCGAGTATCAGCTATCGGAACTGAGCACCGAGCAACTGTTCCCGGTGGTGGGTCGCATGTTTGAGATCCTGAAAAACTTCTCCACATTCGGAGCCACTCGGCAGGAAGAAAACGCGCAGCTGGTGCGCGCCAGCTTTAAGGCGGTAGTGGCTCTGTTACGGAAGTGCCAAGACTATGCCCTGACAGACGATCAGATAGAGCAGTTGCTGTTGCACGTAGAGCAGGAACTGCAGGAGGGCGAGTGCAGCAGCCAAACGATGTGCTTCACGCTGCTGAAGGCGCTGGTGGGACGCAAGGTGGACTCGCGCTCACTGCACGATCTAATGAAACGCCTGGCCGACTTGTCCATTGTCTCCCAATCAGATCATGTGCGCGACGAGTCGCGAACGATTCTCCTTATATACATCATGGAGTACCCCTTACAGAAGCGCGTCGATCAGCTACTCAAGTTCATGTCCGTTCAGCTGGCCTACACGCAGTCTGCTGGACGGCTATCGGCCATTCAGTTTATGCACGCCATCATCAACAAGTTCCCATTGCAGTTGCTGGCCAAGCAATCCGAATTTCTGTACCTCTCTCTGGGCACGCGCTTGGTCAATGACGAGGACACCGGGTGCCGTCGAGCTGTGGCCGCCGCTCTGGAGGCGTTAGTCGGGCGACTCACCAAGCTGCAGCGACAGCCGTTGCTGGACCTAACCATGCTATTCTTCACCTCGCCGCAGTCCAGCCAGAAGCCAGGTGTGCGCGAGTTGGCTGCTGCGCTGTTGTCCCGCTTTGTGCAAGCAGAGCGCGCAGGCTTCGCGGAGCGACTATCCCTTGTGTTGCCCACGCTGGTCGCCGTGCTAACTCTGGGCGACGCAGACGCAGCTGGCAAATTCGTACGTGCTCCTGGACGTGAGGCACCCACTGTGAGTGAGCCCAAGCAGCGGCATAAGCGACGACGAAAGGTAAGGAAACCTCAATGTAAATGCCTTTTAATTGAATACAAACCGTTTGCTGTCTTCTTCTCAGCAATCAAGCGGACCGACTGATGAAGAGAGTTTGCTCATTGAAGACCCGGAGGCGCTTTTGGAGCAACAACAACGCAACGTCGACCATCAAGTAATACAGCTGCAGTATTGCCTGCTAAAGATATTCGAGCATTGTGGCGAGACTTTGATGAGAGACGAAGAACTGGCGCCAACAGTGGATGAGCTAGCGTATGCCAGTCAGAGGCTTCTCGGGCACGAGCACAATTGGATACGGTGCAATGCTGCAAAGCTGCTAACGCAGATTTTGTCGCACTATGATTACGCGTATGTGGGCCAGCGGTTGTTGGGCATTAAGTGTGAAAAAGCAGAGGATGCCAAGGTGTTGGAATTCATATACGGACAGCCAGCGCAAGATCTCAAAAGCCTGGTGCTAGACCTGTGTGCCCAGGTGATTCCGGGCGAGACAGCGCAGGAAATGATTGACGAGCTGGTCAAGATTCTGCTCTTTGTTGCTCACATGCTGAGGGATGTGCCTTTCAGCATCAAACAGGAGGAAGATGTTGCCAAAAACGAGCAAGTACCAGCTGGGAAAATTAATCTAAATTGGCTGGTACGCAACATACGCTTCCTAATCAACAAGGAGGTAACCAAGGCACCACACGACACCCGCATTGTAAGTGAGAGCAACCATAAACCCCTGGCTATTGCTAATTCTTGAATTTCTCTTTAGCGAACGGCTCTATTCTCCCTAATCGAGGGTTTGTCGACATTGCTCAGTGTTGATGCGGTAACGCGTTTGGCCCCAGCTTTGATGCAGGGACTTGTACGCGAAATGTCTGAAGAAGATCAAAACGTCGATCCTGAGCTGCGCCAGTTGGCGTTGCGAGTGGGCAGCCGATTACGCAAACGCATAGGAGCCGAGACCTACGACAAACTGCGCAATCTTGTGCAGAACAAGCTGATGGTGCGTCGTGCCGAGCGCCGCAAAGCTGTGGCCCAGGAGAAGATTCATGACCCAGCGCGGGCCGCGAAGCGTAAGGCCGGAGTGCAGGAGCGGAAGAAGGCGGCCAAGCGCCTCAAGACGGCTGTGGTGCGCGGCAAGGCACCCGACGTGAAACAGAAACTCAAGAAGCGCAAGCGCAAAGCTGAAATGGAGAGTTTTTAGGCAGTTTTGTTTACAATTACATACACCATAGGTAAAACAAATTTTTATATATTTCCACATAACAACTACTCCTATTAAATATGCTTTATCTTAACTAAATTACAATGGAATGAGAACCATAGATCAATTTGGTGATATTTTTCAAAATAAGGTAACGTTGGACTAAATGCACTTCATTTAGATTGTTAAGACTTGTAACAATACTTTTGGTCAAAGTTCTAGTTTAATATTGAAATTTTTACACTAAAAGAATCGACAGTAATTTAAATATTGTTGGCTTTGGCTCGGATTTAGTTCCGTTTGGACAAAACACGATCGCTGCACGTCAGTTGAAGGAGGAGCTTCGACACGTAAGCCAAAAGCACCAGAACTAGCGTAGTCACCTCCATGATTACGAAATGCGATATGGAAGAGCCTATTTCCATCCAGGAGCCGGTATTACGCACCAAAAACAGGAAATTCAAGCCCATGACATCGCAGATGAGCAACAGACAGATGAAGATTTGCCGTTCGTGCAGCCGCGCATACTCGCTGTACGTGTAAACAATAGATATATTGGTTACAATCGGCAAGAGGAGCTTGAGCAGCACCAGCGACATGATGACAAACGGTGCAAAGTGGCTAAGAAAGCAGCGGGAGATGTTCGGGTCGAATGAACTGATTGATGCAATGTTTCCGCTGCCAAAGAGCGAGAAGAATGTGTACAGTATTAACGTAAAGGCTATGCGTAGAGATGACTGCAGGCTCTTTTGCTGATGCTGCAGTGGCTCGACTTGCGCACGCTGCTCTGCAAGTGACGTTGTTAGTTCGATGGCCAGCAGCTGAACGAATAAGGATTCATACGACGTGCACATCATCGTGTACAGTGTTCCCAGATTGTAGCAAATGTGTTGCAGTCGCACCTCCAAAGCAGTCTCCTTGCTGAGGAGTATGGAGGCAAATGCATACGCCAGATAGAGCCAGCTGAGTATATTCAATGGCAGCGGCGCTGCTGTCTGCTGGTTACGCAGATGCACGCACACAGCCGTGTTTATCAAAATAGCTGTATTGCACCACCTGCCGTGCCACTTGAAGTTATCTTGCACCCTGCTTAAGAATTGGCGAAACAGTAAGAGTAGAATACCAGCCAGCAACAGGGAACAATTCTGGTATCCCACGGACGGTGGAACTAGTGGGAAGCAAGCCAGTGCAGCGACTAGCAGCAGCCATAGGTAGAACGATCGTTTCGTTTTAAATGTATCCCAATTGCTATAGAGAGCAAACGCAACAAAGCAGAGCGAAATCAGGCGTCGCTCGAAAAAGGTAAAGACCAGCAGCTCAGCGCAGCCAATAAGTAATAGCAACTGCATTATGGAGGCCTTCGTGGGAGTTGCAACTGCCGGCTGGTTGTAGGCCGGAAGATTGATGAGGTCCTCATTGCTGCTTGGAACTTGCCGCAGTGCGAATATCCAGACGGGCAGAGGCAGCAGCAAATAAAAACTCACGGCGAGCGGAACACGTTGAACCACAACGAAGCCAATCAGCAGTGCAACTGCGATCCATAGACAAACGGTGATCTTGGATGTGTGATCATTCTTATGTGAATCCATTTTTTGGGGTTCAGCATCTTGAGTTAACAGTCGATATAAATAAAACATCCAACCCAAAATTGTGGCCGTTGTTGACAGTAGCATAACGTTGCAATAATATCCCTGATAGTAATCGATTCCTTCTAGGGCCAACTGCATTACGACAGCACTGTTTGCCAACGATTCATCGAATTGGTTCAGCTTAAACGACGTACTAATATAGCCCACATATTCGGCGATTCGTTCCGAAGTCAACTCGTGGAAGCTATTCAAGACTGGGGCAAACAGGCCACGCATGTGCTGCTTCTGCAAGCGAACATATTGGGCCAACAGCTGCAATGCATTGGCGCGAGCTGCCATGGCTTCATACTTGGCATCCGTGCCCAGAAAGCCAAGCGGCAATCGACCAAAATTGTTCATTGGCGGTGGGAGTCCAATTAAAGCCGACATTAATGGGGTTAGCTGGGCCTGTTCCACTTCGCGCAGTGGCAATGCCAGGCCCTCATCATTTGCTTCAAATGTGATACCAGCATAAACGCTGTGGGCCACGCCAGCTCCCCAGAGCATAAACGGTGTATCTGTTTCGTACTGATCTCCAGCGCCGTGGGATCCTACAAAGAAATAGCCAGTTATATTGAAAGCCGATGGAGCAATTCAATTGAATGTTTACCTGAATTTGTCATGCCGTGATCTGATGTCAGCAAATAAGCTGTCCGTTGATCTGGAAAAGTCTTTTCGAATTCCTTATAAATTTTCCATATTTCATGCTCTGTATAGTTGAGGTTTTCGAGGAAAAGACGTGTACCCGGTTTATGTACATGTCCGGCGGTATCTAGACCCAGCAAATGCAAAAAGAACACTACCCGCTTAGCCTTTCGTAACTCTTCTTGTTTGCGATTCAACAGCAAGCGCACCCTTTCAAACACCCACTCGTCCTGCTTATAGGTCATCCCGCCTGAGAAGTCTAGATCATGATTGTAGGAGTCAAAATACATTGGCCGGCCGCTATCAGCCAACTTTTCAAATATATGCAGCACATCATGAGCACCCCAAGCGTATGTGTGATCACTTCGGTTAAACAACGTATCGAATTCAATGGGGTTTTCCTTCCAGCCCCGGGTTACTGCCGATGGGTCCTCGTACAGACCGGCGATAAGCGCAATATGTCCGGGGCGTGACTCCGTTGGGACGCGAGTGCGCGAAATGCCAACTATTCCCTCGTTCACAAATATCTCGCGCAGATGTGGCACATGATTGCAATTGTCTGCAAAGAATGATTCTGCCCGCAGCCCATCAGTGACTATTAGCACTAGGCGGTCGGCAGGCGGCTCGCCTTTCAGCCTAGGCTGTGGTTCCAGTCCCTCTATGACGGGTGACCGAAAATATATAACGAATATAGATCCTAGTAGCAATATATGCACCACCAAAGCATAGATTATCCACATTGCCACACGAAATTCGAAATACTGACTTATAAACAAACCATGTGTTGACAATCTATTCCGGGCATCGAGTATAAAAACTAAATACGATAGCTTCATTAATCGATAGTCGATTTGCAAGTTCCGAGTATTGTCGATTCAAAGGAAATAATTGCGAACAGCCAACTGTTAATTCAATATATGTATGTAATTATATTACACAAACAAATATTATTAAATTAAATAAATAAAGAAAAAGTATTTAGTTTTTTCTTAAAATGTTTTTATTTCATTATCGCGGTCCATTGAGCGATTAAAGCCCAAACGAATTGTTATCGAGTCAACTAAAAGAACTAGTTCGTTTCGATTACACAAGCAGCTCGTTCAAATATATCCAGCAATAGTGTGCTGTTGACGTTTATAATGCAGCAATTGCGTTATTATGTGGGTCGAGCGTTGGCTAGGAGCCGACTATACTCTACACAGCCACACGGAGATATTTACGATGTAGTTGTCATCGGAGGAGGTCATGCCGGCACAGAGGCGTGTGCAGCTGCAGCCCGCATGGGCGCCCGCACATTGTTGCTCACCCATAAACTAGACACCATTGGCGAGATGTCGTGTAATCCGTCCTTTGGAGGCATTGGCAAGGGACATCTAATGCGTGAAATTGACGCGCTGGATGGCGTCTGTGGCCGTTGCTGTGATCGCTCAGGTGTGCACTATAAGGTGTTGAACAAGCGCCGCGGACCCGCTGTGTGGGGACCGAGGGCCCAAATTGACCGCCAGCTATACAAACGAGCTGTTCAGCAGGAGTTGTTTAACATGCCAAATCTGCAGATCCGTGCTGCATCCGTAGATAATCTCCAAATCGAAGCAGATGAAAGCACGAGCAATGGCACACGTTGCAATGGCGTGCTTTTGGAGAATGGAGAGCTGGTGCGCAGCCATTCGGTGGTGCTTACAACGGGCACCTTCCTGCGCGCACACATCAACATCGGATTGGAAGTGAGACCGGCGGGACGTATCGGTGACCAGCCTGCCAAGGCGCTGGGCGAAGCTCTCAACAGACTGGGCTTTCGAATGGGACGCCTGAAGACAGGAACACCGCCAAGGATTGCCAAGAGTAGCGTTGACTTTTCACAGTTAGAGAGACACGATGCCGACGATCCACCCATGCCGTTCTCGTTTATGAATCGCGATGTTTGGCTGCCCGCCAAGGAGCAGATGCATTGTTATCTGACCTATACGACGCCACGTGTCAATGAGATTGTACGCGATAATTTGCACGTCAATCGGCACGTCACAGAGGAAATAACGGGGCCACGCTACTGCCCTTCGATCGAATCGAAGGTCTTGCGATTTGGTGCTAGGGTCCATCAAGTTTGGCTGGAGCCAGAGGGATTCGACAGCCCATTGATTTATCCACAGGGTATATCATGTACTTTGCCGCATCCCCAGCAAATCGAACTGGTACGTGCAATTAAGGGCCTAGAGAAAGCTGAGGTGGTGCAGCCGGGCTATGGCGTGGAGTACGACTTCATAGATCCCCGCGAACTATATCCGACGCTGGAAACGAAGCGGGTGACTGGACTCTTCTTCGCCGGCCAGTTGAATGGAACTACAGGATACGAAGAGGCTGCCGCCCAGGGAATCATAGCTGGTGCGAATGCGGCGGCTAAGAGTGTTCATCAAGATGGCCGGCAATTAAACATTAGCCGTACTGAAGGGTACATTGGCGTATTGATTGACGACCTCACCTCTCTGGGCACCAACGAACCGTACCGCATGTTCACCAGTCGAGCTGAATTCCGACTCTCTCTGCGACCAGATAACGCCGACATGCGTCTCACTCGGAAAGGCCACGAATTTGGGCTGGTCAGCGAGCAGCGCTACGAGCACTTCAAACAGACAGAGGATAGGCTTAAGCGCGGCATCGAGGCACTCAGGGGCTTGCAGAAGCACAGTAATTACTGGCGCCAAGCCCTAGGCCTGCCACAATCCAAGGCTTCCATACAAAAATCTGCCTTCGACATGCTTTCCGTGCCGTCGGAAAACATTTCAGTCAAACAACTCATCGAACTATGTCCCAATGAACTAAGCTGGTTGCGTGCAGACGACGAGTTGGCCACCAGGCTGAAGATCGAGGCGCTATACTCGTTCTTTGTGGATGAGCAACAGCGCGACGTCGAAGATGTTAGACGGGAGGAGCGCTTGTGTATACCTGGCGACATCGACTACTTCTCCAAATCATTGAGTCTCTCGAATGAAGAGCGTCAAAAACTGACGCTTATACAGCCACAAACAATTGCCGCAGCCAGTCGTATTCAAGGCGTTACGCCTTCGACAATACTGCGACTACTAAAATACGTTAAAAAGTCAGATGCCTTGCGAACTGTCCCCGAATATAGTTAAGAAGAGAACTATTTGAGTAGCCTTTGTTGAATATGTGAGATAATGTAAATATGTTTTGATAAGTCCTTTATATATAAGTACGATAGATTGGCCAAAGCTTTCCGCGAGAGATTGGCAGATGCTGGTATAAGTCAGAGTAAATATAAATATGTATATATTCCATTAAATATATACACTAAAAATCAAAAGAATACGACTTTGTGATAAAGAGTTAATTTATATCATTTTTCTATTTTAAAACTTGTTATAAAGCAACGTTGACTGGTTTTCCCAACTAAACAAAATGCGTTCTTCATCATAGTGGAGCTATGACAATTGGCAATAGAAGAGACCCATTCAAGGTTACAAGGTCATTTAAAACACTTCGGTTTAATCTCTTACGTACAGTTTATTCAATAAAATCATAAATGCCTTAAGTAAAGTTGCACAAGATTGTTTGTTATAATTTGTGGCATGTGTCCCACGACATCATTTGTAGTTACTGGATGTGTTGGTTGTTGGTTGATGCTTATTATTGCTCTAATCATGGCATCGACGTTTACGGTTAACGGCATTTGTTGCTCAAAATATGCTGCTCAATGATCTCTATTTGGATTTGTTGTTTGGTTAGCTTAAAAATTATGTTTTACACGTTTTCTTTTGTTTGCTTCATTTTTTTTTTGTTTTTTTTTTTTTGGTATTTTTTATTTATTTTTTTGTTTTGTATTCTGTTTTACACACACAACGAAGATTGAGGGAGAAATACGTTTAATTTATGTATTTTGTTTAGGTTTGTATTTGAAACTATTATGCATTATTTATATTTCAATTGCTTTCGCATTTTGTGGATTAAGTTTACATATATTTTATGCGCACCAATTCATTATCCGTATTGTATTATCCATTATCCAAGAACTATTTTGATATTACTCACTAGCTTACAGCCTTCGATCAAATATTCCGATCTTAGGTTTCTGACAATTGTTCCTTTGGTAAAAACTCATTTTTTGGCTAATATGAGAACTGAAAAGTTTTACTCGAAGTGAAATCGAAGGGATCGAAAGTCTGTAAGCTAGTGTACTTAATAAAAATATATTCATTTTCAGTTTAACTGATATTTTTATACCCACATTTATGTAAGTTTTTTCTTTTATTTTTGTTTTTATGTTTTTGACAAGATTGTATCAATAAGAGAAAGAAAATATGGGATTTGCATATGTCTGGATGGGCATGGAAATATATTCGGAAAGAGTCTTGCGATCAATGCGACGATAATGAGTTATATTCAATTTATAGATATTAGCTCGATCCTTCGTACGCTATAATTTGTCGAGTTTTCGTTTTCGTTTTCTTTTTGTTTTCCATTTCTTTTCTTTTTTTAATATCACAGATTGCTCGAGATTTGTATGCTTAAAAAAATAAATGATTTTTAGGCAATCTCAAACATAAACTAAAACTGAAACCTAAATTAAATTAAATACAGTTATGTCTGAATTTTGTCTGGATATCAGATATTTGCTACTTAATATGTATGCATCGATTGGGTATATATAATAATGAAATATAATGGCAATGATACTTTTGGTACATAGTAATGAATGTGGTGTGGCTGGGTATCTTAAGGGTTTTGCTTAGCTCTGAATATTGGCTAAGTAATTACTTGGTTAGTCTGCATCTGTTTCAATTATATTATTATAAAATTTGCTTGTATAAAAACTGAAAATAGAAAATAGAAACTCCGCTTATAAGGGCCAAAAAGTTGCTCACATAATATGGTACAAAAATTCGAAAATTTCGAAAAATAATTTAAGCTTTTCGCAATTTTTGCTAATCCGTTCCAGATTACACGTTTTGATTTGTTTTATTTCTATTTTTATTTTTTGTTTTTTTGTTGTTACCTAAATTTCAGTTCCGTTTTATCCACCTTGTGTTTGTGTTCAATTTACATAATACACACGTTTTCATTATAATTTTTTGTTCTTTACGTTTTTTCGTACTCTCCAAAATCACAATTATTAGCAATTTAAGAATAAAATATAACTATTCAGTTTGAAAGTTCTGTTACTGTTTCTATTTTGTTCTGTATATATATAAATTTCTTACGAGCTTTTTAATCTAAAATTGTACAACTATCATTAAATCGCAAGGATTGTGTTCAAGAGTGTGAATTTCCATACATTCAGAGTTCTTTGAATTAGACAAAGTATTGTTTGTAATACAATTAATCATATGATTATTAAATTGAGTATCTCACAATATTTATATTTATATTTATATTTATATTTATATTTATATTTATATTTTTACAGTATTAACTTTACATTTCATGCAATTGTAGTTGACCTGGACACGAATTCGCACATTCAAATAGATCGAGTCTGTGGAATTGTGGCTAACTTTGGATTAACATTAGATTGTAACACCGAGAACAAACAAATATGTGATATCCGCTAAGAGGGCTTTACACACTAGTAGGTATGCATATTAATGTACGTTTATATGGCGGCGATATAGCCAATTGTCCAGCGTGAACCCTAAAGCTTTAGAAACTCATCGAGCATTCGCTTGCGCTGCTGGTGCAGCGCCCGTTCCGACAGGAGATACATCCCAATATCGCCAAAGTTTTTCATTAGTTAGTTGTTCGAGCTGCTGAAGAGCTGATGTCATAAGGCTGTTGCCTCCTCGGCAGTAGTGCTGCGACCCAGTGACTGCACCGAGCTCTTGTTGTCCTCTAGAATAAACAAACATAAATAATTATTATTATTTAAATTATGATATGGGGACTCTCAGAAATGGTTATACATACGCTCATGAAAGGTATTGTATTATTTGATCTGCAAAAACTCATAATAAATAAAGAATATAAATTCGATAATAGATTGAAATAAAAAGTGCAATCGATTTATAAACAAATGATTTATTTGGGCAATTCTAGAGCAAACATTTGACAATTAAATAAAAAGAAATCATATTAGATAATAATAATTGTAATCGTAATGTTAATAGTAGTATGCATTTAATATTGAACACGATCAACTATGATCGACCCTAGGCGATGAGGATGACGATGCAATACGTTACAAATTATTGTATACTCTCGTTTATAAATAAACATTTGGATTAACGGCTATGTTGAAGGTAGATGATGTTAACTAGTTTCGATCTCACGAACTACTCTACGTTCCCACTATTGGGTCTCTCTCTCTCTCTCTCTTTCTCTCTCTAACTTAGGCAATGGATCATCTCGATGTTTCGGCAATGGGCGTGGCACTCGTCGACACCTCGTCAGCGGCAGGCGTGGCCGTTGCTGCCGTCGCTGCTGCCGCTGCCGCAACATTCGTGCTGCTGCTGACCACCGGCGGCGAGTTGCTGCCGCTGGTGGTGGAGGTGACTGCGCTGCCACATGACGCCGCTGCCGCATCGTCCGGCGACAGCTTCGTCCGCTGCGGCACCGGCGGCGTTGGCGTCGCTTCAACCTGCTCTGACGGCTCCTGCTTCGCGGCAGGCGGCGTGCTGGCCGCCAGAATCTTGGGAGTGAGCTCCGCACTGCTATTACCTGGTGAGCCGCCGGTTGGCGCTCCAGTGGCTGTGGCGCCGCTCGAGTTGTTGTTGTTGTTGGTGGCGTTGGTGTTGGCGTTGCTGCTGCTGTTGTTGTCCGCGTTGGGTGGACTCGCGCTGCGGCGGGACGAGTTCTCCGGCGAGCTGTCCGGCAGCAGCGTTTTCTCCTGACTGGCGCTGGCGCTGGCGTTAGGCGTTGCCGGCTTCTTCTCGAGTGCCACCGGGGGCGTGGCACTCTGCAGTGGATCCTCCTTGCCGACCGTCAGCGAAGTGGGCTCCTTGCCGTCCGTGGGCCCGTTGGACTCGATGCCGTTCAGCTCATGCGCAGCCGAGGTGCTATTGCTGGCGCTCGACTGGGCCTGGTTGCTCGAGTTCGAGTTGGAGCCGGTCAGGTCGAGCGTCGTCGGCTCGTGCGTGAGCGGCGTCGGTGCCGCGCCTCCGCTCTTCTCCATCAGCTGCTGCGACTGCTGCTGGGCAGCGGCTGCCACAACGGCGGCAATGTGATGTCGCATGGCGTGGGGGCTGCTGGCGGCGCGCGAGCCTCCGTTGGGGGCCGAGCCTAGGGGTGGCGTGATCTTCGGCGACGTCGGATGCGCGGCGCCACCAAGCGGCTGCTGATGGGCGGCGACGGGAGTGAGGCCGCTGGCAGCCGCTGCGGCGTGCATGGCGGCCAGGTGCCCGTGGTGGTAGTAGTGGCTCATGGTCGGAATGTGCGAGCTGGGCGTGGACGTGGTTTGAGCCATGCTGCTGGTGGCCACCGTCAGGTTGAGGCTGCTGTGCGGCGACGCTGACGTGGCCACCGCGCTGCTGGCCACCACCCCGGGACTGGGCCCAGCCGACGAGCTGGCGACCGAGTGCGGCGGCAGCTGGTGCACCGCGTGGTGCGGCGAGTGGTGCGCATGGCTCAGATTGAGGCTGTGTGGATGCGGGCCCAGGCCGAGCGCCGCGGCTGCCGAGAAGCCCGGATGGGCGAGCCCAGCTGCACCTGGATGGGCAGCCAGGCCCATGGCCGCCTGCTGCAGGTGGTGCTGCAGGTTGGCGGGTCCGTGGCCCGGCAAAGTGGGCATGCCGGCCATGCCCAGATTGAGCCCCATCGGGCTCTGGCGCTGCGCATTGGCAGCCGCCGCGTGGTAGTGCGACATGCCAGCCAGGCCGTGCAGGCCGGCGGGCGGGCCGCGCAGGCCCAGATTGATGTGCGGCATCATGGAGCCGAGCAGGTTGCGGTTGAGCGGCGCGTACAGCTGGTTGGAGTAGTGATGCGTGGCGTTCAGCAGCTGCTGGCGCTCCCGCTCCCTGGCCTCGCGCTCCTCCTCGCGCATCTTGCGCTCGCGCGCCTCCTTCTCCTTCTGCTCCTTCTCGCGCTGCTCCTTTTCGCGCTGCTCCCGCTCCCGTTCACGCTGCTCCCGCTCCCGCTCGCGCTGCTCCTTCTCGCGCTGCTCACGCAGCTCTCGCTCCTTCTCGCGCTGCAATTCACGCTCTCGCTCCTCCTCGCGCGCCAGACGCGCCCGATGCTCCTCCTCCAGCTTAAGGCGGTCGTGCATTGCCGGCGACATGCCCAGCGCCGCGCCGGGCATCATCGAGTACAGATGCGAGTAGGGTGAGGCCATGGGGGGGTAGAGCGCCGCTGCGTGCGGATGCCCGTGATGGCCGCCGGCCGCACGAAACAGCTGATAGCGATGCTCCAAGTACAGCGGATCCGAGTAGGGCAGGCCAGCCGCCGGGTTCAGAAATGCTGCCACGAGAATATTCATTAGCTATACGATTTCATGGCTTGGATCTCCAATCTCTGCTTACCTGCTGGAGGAATGCCGGGCAGGCCGGCAAAGTGCGAGTAGGCCTCCAGGGGAAAGGCACCGGCCGGATGCATCAGTCGCTCATCCGATCTGTAGGGCTGGAATCCACTGCGTGCGAGCAGCTCCGGCTGCAGAGCTGCCTGCGGCGTATGGCTCAGCCGGGCCATTTTCTCTGGCGGCTGCGGCGAGGGCGGCGAACGCTTCTTGTTCGCCGCCACGCGATCCTCGGCGGACGGGACTCCGCCGCGTCCGGCCACCGAGTTGAGCGGCACAGGTACGGGTCCGGCGTTGGGCGGCATCGGTGGTGCCGCGGATGTGGCCACATTGCGCTCCCGGGCCACATTGACCGCCTCGTCCTCCTCCTTGATGTCCGCCTGCTTGGCCAGTGTGCGCAGCGCCGCGGCGAATGAGCCGCGCGCGTTGGCCGCTGAGGCCGCATTGATGGCGCCCGGCGGCACGCCCACGCCCGCCAGCTGCTGCTGCACTGCGGCGGCCACAGCCTGCTGATGCGCCTGATGCTGCTGCTGCTGCTGTTGTTGCTGTTGCTGTTGTTGCTGCTGCTGCTGCTGCTGTTGCTGCTGGGGCGACTGGGCGCTAATGTGGTTGGTGGGCAGGGCGTGGTTCAGCAGTGCACCGCTCGACGTCGGCGGCGCCGGACTATTCCCAACGGATGCGCCCGGCACGCTGCCCGCGTTCGGCGGTGTCTGCAGATGATGCGGCACGGGTATGTGCGGCGCCGGGCTGGTGGCCGGTCGCTTCTGTCCAGCCTTGGGCGGCACTGCAGGTACACATTAGAGGGGAAAAGATAAGAGGGAAAAGTTAGTGAAGTTCCATTGTAAGGCCTGCTTTAGACTAGTCAATATTGATTTAGTTAAGACTCCAGTTCAAGCCACAGAGTTTCGCTGTTTACTCGACCCGCCTGCCCCTCCCTTCCCATCCCCTCCCAAGAGAGGATTGCATGGAGCGCTTGTGCGAATAGCCTGTACTAATAACTGATTGATGTCGCTCGCCTGCACAGAGAGGGAGGCGCCACATGTGGACCCCATCCGGCTCGGCTCGATGCGGGCCCAGCGCAAGGACTTTTGGCCATTTGCTGTGACACCAAAATGCAAATGCCAAGGCCTGAAACTTGAATTTCGGACACGAGCACAGACAATTCCACATCCCCATCCCTCACCCGCACTCATTTCATTTACCACGTGCTTTCGTTCCTTTGAGCACCTCTCGCTCTGGGTGCAAATTGCACGCCCAACGAGTTTATCGATTCCAGTTTCTCGTTTCGTTTCGTTTCGTTCGGGCCAAATTGCTTTCAGATATGACAGCCACGCCCCGTTGCTCCGCCCCTTTCAGGTCAGCAGCAGCAGCTCAGGTGGCCAGACTGTCTCGACGCGCATTCCCAATGCCAAAATGGAATTTACCGAGCCTGACGACAACGAAAACCATTTGCCAACAGCGCTCTTTGTGGGGCACGGCAAGCGGATTAAAGGCTATCGCCGTCATCATCGTGCGGATGATGTTCCTTATCTGCACAATCTAGTTGTCTCTGCTGAATCTCGGTAATCCACATTGCCACATTGCCACACACAACTTATTGACAATGTCTCAAAACGGTCTGAGAATACCAGAAATTTGTGAATCGCAGCTAGAGCCAGCTCGAATCCTCTTGGAGAGATATCTGCTGTTGATTCTGCCCCATTGCGAACGTGTCTCATATATTTGCGCAGGCAGCGCGAATCGACGTCCGCCTAGCCACCCACTCGCAGAACTTTTCATTAAATGCACAAAATGCATTCAAGGATTTTTATGTGCGTGCCTCGCCAATGCAGTCGGGCGCAAAGCCTTCTGCCTGTTACCGGCTCCTGCTGGTGGCTGGTTGCCATTCGACGCGAGCCCAACAACGGCAGCAGTTGCCTAAGCTCCTGGCTGGATTGGTTGCCACACCACACCGACGAGGAGGAGCAGGAGCGGGAGCGGAAGCAGGGGGTGTGCTGCACGGGGCATGTGCTGCATGTGTATTTACCAAACTAAACCGAAATAATGCCCGAAACTGCAACAGCAACTACAACTACGCACTCTCGGCTACAACAATAAAATGCCAACGACTGCAAAAGCGACTGAGTCCCGATCCGTGCTCCTGTCCCTGGCCGTGCCAATACCCGTGCTTCTGCCCTGCCCTGCCCTGCTGCCCCTCCCCCGCCCACGGTTGAGGGGCTCACAAACCAAACAAAGGCGCCTCCGCCGCTGCCATCGTATTTTCCAGTTTGCCTAACTGCGTGTGGGTCGACCAGGGATCTGGGCTGTTGCTGCTGCTCCTGCTGCTGCATAGTGAAATCCTGCTCTGCTCTACTGTGTTGTGCTCTGCTCTTGGCGCTCTTGTTTGCCATGAAATGCCTGTTTGTTTGCATGGGTTTTGTGTACTTCAACATGGCCGACGCGACCCCTTCCCCTGCCCCTCTTCCTGGCCCCTTCACCCAACTTCAACTGTGGCAGCTGCCTTCGCTCTGCTTTTTGCATTCAGCGGCGATTTGCAAGCATCAGCGATATTTGCCGAATTTAATCAGAACACCAGCACGAGAGTGCCCCAGCTTGACGCGGTTCGACTCTCGCCTAGGCCTGTCTGCCCTTGCCCCGCCCCGACTCGCCTCACTGCGAATCTTTAATGCTGCAATCCTAGCCATTCCATCAATATTTTGCCAGCAATTTTTGTCAGTTGGCTCGAATTCCCTTGCTTTCTTTCTGCTCTTCTTCTTTGCTGTCATCAATTTTGAGTCGGGCTAAACTGTTTGCAACAGATTCGAGCCGCTTCCTCCACCCGGACGAAAGTCCACAGAATTTACAATTTGTTTTGCCCAACATGCAATCGTAGATGCATAAATGTAGCCCTAGTTACTGAAGATATATATAGATTATATAGTTTTGGGAAAGTAATCGTTGAAGAATAAAGGACAAAGAGTTCCTAATCTGTATAGTATTTTAATTACCACGATTAACTTCAAAAATTAATACCCATTTCTCTATTATTCTCTAATCATCATTATTATTATTATTATTATAATGATCACCATTATTATCATCAGTAATGTTAGGCTTCTGAGTTTATGTCGGTAATATTTTAAATAGTAGAATTTCATTTGATATTTCGTCATTTTGACATCATTATTAATATTCTTATTGCTATCATTGTCATTATCAGAATCCTAATAATAATTCAGTTAATAAACAGTGTAGGAGAGTATATTAACTCAATTATGATTATCATGATTAGTATAGAACAGATGATTAAAATCTTTTGATTTTTTTTTTAATAATTGCTTTTATGATTATTAAGTAAATACATATTATTATTATATTATATTATATATGTAAATTATTAGACAAATTTAATTTGATATTTATGTATTATTGATTATGATAATAGCAATAATAATATTAATAATATTTATCAATTACTATACATATACAGTATAAATTACTATATACGTATAATAATTGATAAATAATAATAATACATAGAAAAATACTTATATTTATAGCAATTATTAATATTGAGCTAAATATACAGTGTATTATATACATAAATAGTATTATCAGCTATTTAAAATATTTAGCTCACACAGAATGCTTATCCTATGCACCTCCGACCACCACGCATTCTGATATGCAACTAAAGACCAAAGACACCAAGCTTCCCTTTATATAGGAGCTGCTACCCCTCGAACTCATTCTTCGAGCCAGTGAGATCAAACACTCGAGCTCAAGATGAGCTCGATTTGATCACTGAGAGAAGAAAAGAGCGTATACACATCTCTTTCAAGCATTCACAACTACAGCTGCACACGATTAATACTCTAACTGCTCATATTCAGCTTCTGCTATTTCTCTTCTATATGAGTGAATTACTTTCCTGATAACTGTTCGATCGCATGTGAGATGCTCAAGGACGTACGACAGTCAAAGAGAAGAATAAGCAGACATACAAACGTACATGCTCGTCCAATTATCAGAACAGTCCATGGCTCCAGAATTTGTATTTGGAATACTAAGCTTTATTTTATTATTATTATTATTATTTTGATATATTATATAATTCAAATATAGTAATTTCAGCTAAAACATTTCATCTGTATTAATATTTAAAAAATATGCATTAAATTATTTGTTTTAAAATTTTATGCAACGATTAAAACTCTTCAGATTATTTAAACATTTTTAATTAAAAAGCCAATTAATATAAATATCAAGTCTTTACTAGAAAATTAGCGCTGCATATTACAATTTAAATTTATAATATTGCATCTCTATAAATATAGAGAAATATACACAGTCGCTCAATATTCAACTAATAAAAACTAGAAAAATACTTCTAAAAAGTTTTAAAAACTCCAATTTATTTCGTATTATAATATTTGATTTTAAATTTATAAAATCAATGAATATTATTAATTTTTATGGACACAGACATTTCAATTCACTAAAAAATGTCGACTTGAAAAATGTTTAACTAGTTCTTGTGTGTAAATATCTAAAATATTTATCTCAGTTTTGCACTTTCGTGCAGCAAAGTTTCATCTTTCGGTCAGCTTTTTTTGTTGTTGTTGTTGGAGTTGTTGTTGTATTGGTTGGCTTATTGACTCCCTAAATGGTTGTCGGTTAATTTGTGCATGCAAATGCAATTTGCGCAAAGTCAATTAAATGGAATCCCCTTGCCACATAAAACAAATCATAACTGCCTATAAATAAATGTTGAATAAATTAGGCACACTCAATTCGGTGAGTGTTGTTGTTGTTGTAGCTACTGTTGTTGCTGTTGCTGTTGTTGTTGTTGTGATTGCATTTGGTTCAGTACTGCAAAATTGGTTTTCTCGCTCGGGTAAATTAAAATGTCACCACTCGAATGGCCAAAATGTAAGCACCAACCAACCAGACAACCGACTAACCAACCAACCAACCAACAGACGGACAGACAGACACAGAGACAGACGGACAGACAGAGGAGCGATTCACATTTACACAAACCACATAAACATTGCGCTGCAGTCTGCCTCTTGACCCACCCGCACACATTTAAATGGTAGTTACCAGCATTGAATTCCTTTGTGCCAACGAATGGAACTGGAAATGAGAGTGGGAGTGGGAATAGGGAAGGGGAGTGGGAGTGTGGGAATAGGGAATGGGAATGTGGCAGTCGCCGGTTGCATGCGATTATTCCACCACAACTAATTACAGTGGCAAACGGCGAGGCACTGGCACTCCGTGTCGCAGCCTGCTCCTGCTCCGGCTCCGGCTCCTGCGCCTGTGGCCAGGACATGTTTAGGTCAGCCGCAGCACATACACAAGCCCTCCAATCGAGCGGAGCATGAATAATTTATTTAATAAATACATTCACAATTAAATCAATTGCGAATACATATGTGAGACAGAGCCAGGGCAGTCCAGCAGCAGCTGTCCTGGTGTCATGTGGGCATGTGGCATGGCAGGGCATGGCACATGAGGCAGGAGGCAAGTGGCAAGTGGCATGCGGCAAGTGGCAAATGGGCAGCCATAGCAAATTATCGTGCGCCTGCCTGAGCCAAGCAAACGCAGAACGATGTCGACTCAGATATATGGAATAAGCTGGTATAAGCTTAAACGGGGAAAGGTTTACGGAAGAGCTTATAAGGAAGGGATCATATATGTATATACATATAACTATATGCATACATATATTTAATTACTGACTTATATAGGCTAAGATCATTACCATTAATTCCATATATGAACAAGTAAGAAGACTCTAGT